TGGACTGGAACGTGTGTGTGTGAACAAGGAAGACTTCACTGTAGTTACTGGTCAGAGGGGCCAGTAGGTGCCACTGAGTGAGCATGTGTACTGTGTGGCCACCACATTCAAAATGGCTGAGCTAGGAGAGCAATGAATCTGCATCAACTTTCGTGTTAAGCTTGAACATTCCCCCTCAGAAGCTATTTGGATGACTCAGGAGGCTTTCGGGGATGATGCAGTGAGTGCAGTACAACTGCAAGTGTGGCACAAACGCTTCAAAGATGGTTGAGAGTCTGTTGAAAGGGATCCACACTCTGGGTGGCCTGCAACAAGCAGAACGCCTGAGAGTGTTGAACGTGCACAGACTGCCGTCACAAAGATCAGTGACGGTGCGAGAACCAGAAGCTGATCTGGGGATTTTGATGCAGGATCTTGGCATGAAATGTGTCGTGGCAAAATTCGTTCCTCGGCTTCTGCCACCAGAGCAGAGGGAACATCAGGCGGCAGTTGCTAAGGGCGATTCCAAACTGCTACCAGTGAACAGATATTCTCTAGAGCACTTTGACCAGTGGGACGGATGCCGGGAGAACTGTGTGAGGTCCCAAGGTACCGACCTTGAAGGGGGCTGAGGTGTCCTTGTCCTGTGTACGATGTTTCTTGAGTCTCTTATCTTCTTCAGTCAGTGTCTCCACCTCTCATAGAATGTGGATGGATACTTTCTGGCCAGACTGCATCTATTCCAGACTGTCCAGATTTCTGAAGCTTAGCTACAAGACACTTTTTTCCAAGGCAAACACTTTTGGCATTTGCTTCATATATTTTCTGAAGGTCGCTCCCAAAGCAATCCATCATGATAAACCTGTCCCTTCTTCCATTTTCATCATGTAGACCAGACCCCTAATACTCAGGAGCACCCAGGTACTTCAGGCCATGGGCACAAATCCATTTCTGAACTTGCCCTGGTCCATCGTCCGTGGGTTCCACGTTTACACCACGGGGCGCCTCGCCAGATTTGAACCCAAGCCCCCTTGGCCGATGGGCAGTCCTGGTCTTCGTTCCTCTTCTGACATGTCGGTGATCACTGCGCCCCCCACTCCGGCTGCAAAGTGTTCTGGGAGAGGAGAACACTGCTCTGGAGGCGGAGCCGCTTCAACACGAGGCGTCGGTGCGCCAGGGCTTTCGCCGATTCCATGGCGCTGCCGCACGGCACACACGGGTCCTTTATTCTCGTCTGCTGTGCGTTAGGCCCGAAGCTGCCTCTCCGACGACAGCACCTCCTTTCTGAGGGAGGTGCAGGCCCATACGGACTTGCCCGATACAGACACAAAGCCAAAGTTCAAAGGTTTATGGATAAAAGAACAGTCCTGCCTTGGCATCATTTTTATTGACTTATGCTACTGATTTATTATTTATTGATCTACTATCTTTTATTGATTTGAGAGAGACAGACATGCATTGCTTGTTTTGTTCATGTATGCATTTATTGGTTGATTCTTGTATGTTCCCTGACTGGGGATCGAACCTGCATCTTGGTGTTTCAGGATAATGACGACACTCTGACCAACTGAGCTACGCGGCTGGGGCTCAGTGTTAATTTTTTTTATTTTGCTGATTGCACTGGTACTGTGTAAGGGAATGTCCTAATTTCTAGGAAATACACACTGAAGTATTAAGAAACAACAAAAAATAGTGGCCAAAATAAAAATCCGTTATTTCTCACAGTGCCTGGGTAGGCTGCACATTTCTGCACCTGTCTGGTTGGACCCCTCACAGGTGGACAGTGGGTACCACGTTGGCGGGGCCTCGGTCCCGAGCTTGCCTGGACCAGGTTTCATACAAGGTGGTCTCAGGACCCTGTTCCAGGAGAATGAAGGCAAAGTTACAAGGCATCTTGAGGGCTGGACTCTGGAAACACCATGGCACCCTTATCCCACATCCCATTGGACAAAGCAAGTCCGCGGCCAGCCCACAGTCACAGGTGGGGACTGGACTCCGCCTCTGCCCAGGAGCAGCTGCACCAACTGCAGCCATGTGTGATCTCTGGCCTCTCTGTTCTCCGGCCCCTCCCCGACGCCAGGGTCTCCGTGAACAAGGCCAGTATCCAGATCTTTAGATAAAGGGAGCCTGGGGCACAGTCCCGTGAGAAGAGGGGTAGTCAGTGGACTTGTTTCAAATTGATCACAAGACAAATATTTTTTATTGACATATACTCACATGCAGAACAATGTCCCCCTTTTGATGTCCAGTTCTCGGAGTGTACACAGATGCATCCAGCTCTGTGACTGTCACGCGATGGTGTCCTTCAGAGCCAATCCAGGCCCCCACACCTCAGATCTGCTTCCCGTCCCAACGGTGTTGCCTTCTCCAGAATGCCCTGTGCGTGGAGTCCCACAGTGTGTGGGCTCATGATTCCGGCACCTTCCACCTGGTATAATGCTTCTGAGACTTTGCCATGTCATTGGGAGCATCGGTGGTCTTGTTCCTTTTGATTGCTGAGTAATATTCCACAAGCGGCCAGGCCAGCGTTTATTATCCGTGCACCTGCCAGACGTTGTTTCCCATTTTTGACAGCTATGAATAGAGCTTCTATCAACATCTGGGATCAGGCTTTTGTGTGAATATGGGTGCCCGTTTCTCTAGAGCAAACACCCAAGACTACAATGGCTTGGTTGTATGGGAAGCGCATGCGCAACTTCCTACGAAACTGCCCCACTGCTCCGCAGAGCGGCTGCAGCACTTCACACCCCCACCAGCAGTTTCGGGAGTCCTGCCACGCCTCGCCAGCACTCGGTATCATTAGCACTTCTGTTTCTCGAAGATCGGATTGGCGTTAGGAAGTGATTCGTGAATCGGGCAACAGCACCCCGCCACCCCTTGCAGCCGGAAGGGCGCTCCCAGGACCGCTGAGGTCGGCTATTCTCACAGGGTGTTCAACGGCTGTGGCTGGAATTTGTGTTTTCCTCCTGAACACTGATGCTGAGCATCTTTTCACGGGCTAGTCTGCCGTTCATATATTTTCTTTGGTGACATGCCTGCTCAAATTTTTCACGCATTGTTTTTGCCAGGCCCTTTTGTTCTCATTATTGAGTTTTGAGGGTCCTTTAAATGCCCTAAATGCAGAGTCTTTGTCAGACGTCTGTTGCAGGTATTTTCTCCCAGTCTGTAACTTGTCTTTTTATTCTTCTACCGCTGTCTTTCGCAGAGCAGGATTGGAAAAGGAGGTCTATCAATATCTTCTTTTGCAGATGATGCTTTTGACGTTGTCTCTAAGGCACATTTTACTGCTGACTAACCCGAGGTCTGAAGGATTTTCTCCTTCTAGACGTTTTATAGTTTTGAGTTGTCCATACAAACTGATGAAGCATTAGGGGAGAGGGGATGTTATTTGGTATATACTGTGAGATAGGAGTTGAAGTTCATTTTTTCTGCATATGGAAGTTCATGTTCTGGTTGTTGGGGGAAAAAAAAAAAGACTGCAGAGCAAATTCACCAGAACTGTGGGTTTGTTTGGGTGGTTGGGGGGAGGGAAAGGTGACAGAAATTATGGAGGAACAGGACGTCAGAGCCCCGTGCTCCCATCTGGCACCAGGCCTGGGACTTCCCGCCTCCCATGGGTGTGGGCCCTTGGGCAGGGGGCCGTCGGGCGGGCCCTGTCAAAGGGGCAAACCTTTCAGGGACCCTGCCAGGCCTCCCGTGGTTACTGTTTAACATGTCGGGTGAAAATGAGCTTTACTTATTACCACTGTGGCTGCAAGCAGTTTGTGCCACCCTGGGTGGGACCCCTGACGGACTCGTCGCTATGGAGAGGAACCCGGGAAGGTGTGGAGACACCTTTCTGCAGGGCAGGACGGGAGCGCAGCCTGGCAGCGGCTCGGCTCCCACCTGGGTGAGTGTTCAGGGTGGCAGAGAAGAAACACGGCCCGCGATTGTCCACTCTTAATTTCTATTTGCTGATTTCACTGTGTTTTACAGAACCTCAGGTCTTGATTCCAAAGTTTGCATATTTAGGAAATTATACTGAGCGTGAGATGAGAGAAGATTTGTTTGCTCTTTTGGAAGCCTCATGAAGGTTTATTCCCTGTGTTTTCCTCTGGAGACTAGCAGAATAAAAGCTTCGTGTGCTACGTGATGGATCTCTTCTTTTAGAGCTTCATCTGGTTTCAGTGCGGCTAGTCCAGCCCTTAAGCTCATTTTACTAGAGTAAATAACGAAAACTACGCAAGAAAGTGTGGATCGAAATCCCAGATGATGTGCAGACAAAAAATGAAATGTGTACACACAACAAAATACACCCTGAACACACAGTACAGGCACGATGTGGTCTGCAGTGCGACACTGTGTCCGTTCTGTTTCTCCTCTGGGAACAGGGCTTTCTGGCCGAGGGGCTGGGACAACCGAGGCACGGAGGGAGGCGCTCAAGGACCTGAGGACAGGGCTGGTTTATCACCCAGAATGGAAGTAGTTAAAGATTTTCACTCACAGGGTGATGGAAGGATGGCTAAGGAAATAGATGGGTGGATGAGCAGAAAAGTAAAAGGTTAGCCCCAGCTGGTGTGGCTCAGTGGATTGAGTGCCATCCTGCAAACCAAAGTGTCACCGATTTGATTCCCAGTCAAGGCACATGCCTGGGTTGTGGGTCAGGTCCCCAGTAGGGGGCGCTCGAGAGGCAACCACGCATTGATGTTTCTCTCCCTCTTTCTCTCTCCCTTCCCCTCTCTAAAAATAAATTTAAAAAAAAAATATATATATATGTAAAAGGATAGAAAGATGGGTGGATGGATGGATGGTGTGATGGGTGGGTGGGTGGAAGAATGAGTGATGGGCGGACGAGAGGCAGGACAGAAAGGTGGACGTGTGGGAAGGTATTAGAGTGTGAAGGCAGAAGGGTGGAGGAAGACTGGAAAGACAGACGGATGAGCGGACAAGTGGGGAGACGGAAGGACGTCGCGGAGAGGCAGGGCGGGTGGCAGAGTCCAGCCCGTTGGTGACAGCCCGGCTGGCGGCTCTGACGCCCGCAGGGAGTTTCCTGGTGCCCTACGTCGTCATGCTCATCGTGGAGGGAATGCCGCTCCTGTACCTGGAACTGGCGGTCGGACAGCGCATGCGCCAGGGCAGCATCGGCGCCTGGCGCGCCATCAGCCCCTACCTGAGCGGCGTCGGTACGTGGGTGCCTCCGGTCCTCCCCCAACCCCCGCCCTGGGAGACCCCCTACCTGTATTCTGGGTCGCCTGGATGGGGTGGGAGCAAAGGGGAAGCACAAGGCCAGGGAGAGAGCCCTCGAGTGGGGTGGACAGAGGCCCAGGGGAGGTTGCCCTGGAACGTGGACTGAGAGGGGCTGGTTTCCTGCCCCAGGAGAGGGAGGGAGGGAGGAGGCACCAGTGGGGAACTGAGACCCCATTGCTGCCCTGGCCCCGGGGGCTTGTCCGTGAGGAGGAAGCAGCTGCCTGGATGGAACTGTGAGTCAGTGTCTGAGCTGACAAGCATTCTGGGGACGGGCCCATAACGACGTCCCCTTTCAGTGACCACCTACTGTGTGCCGGGTGCTGGTCTGCACAGTATATGTGCACGAGCTCACTTATTCTTCTCATGGCCGAGAGGTTGTCGGGGTGCCGTATGGAAGCGGGGCACACAGACAGTAAGGAGGTGCGGCCCCACAGCCTGCCTGTCCGGGGCTCCCTGGAGCTGGTGTCCCGCCCACCTCGGGGACATGGTCACCCAGCCTTGCACCCTCACGCTCCCGGGCTCTCACTGCTGTCCCGAGGAACTTTGACCAGCGATGGCCACACTCTGTCCTGCCCACCCCTCCCGCCCCAGACAGGAAGGCAGAGTGACATTTCAGGGGCAAAGAGGGCGTAAACTTGTACGTGACTTGTCTCAGGTGCAGGAGAAATGTGTCTCGTGCCCTGACAAATCATCTCCTAGCCCGAACCGCCTCCTCTCTCCAGTGGCCGTTAATGTTTAGCAGGGAGCTGTGTGGTTGGCGATCTGCCCCAGTGAGCAATCCCGGAGGGCTTCTCCGAAGCGTCGTTTGCCGTGTGGTAGAAGACAGGCCAGATGGTTGTGCCAGCCGGGGGTGCTGCTTTGTGAGCGGCCAGCACTGAGATCTCCAAAAAAGTCACCATCCTCTTGTTCCAGAAAATGGGGATATGGGTGGGGAGAGAGACCAGCCCTGGGCAGTGCTCACTGGGCCCTGGCCACAGCGGGCCTCTCACAGACCTGCTTTGGAGGCGTTGCCATCCTGGGGGAAGGGGCCACTCACTGCGTGGGTGTCCTGGGTGTGATGGAGGGGCCCCAGCTGCCGGGTCCAGGCGGGAGGGGGGCAGGGAGGACCCTCAGCACCCTCTGCTCCGGCACAGGCGTCGCCAGCGTGGTGGTCTCCTTCTTCCTGTCCATGTACTACAACGTCATCAACGCCTGGGCCTTCTGGTACCTCTTCCACTCCTTCCAGGTGAGCGGGTGAGCCAGAGCCGGGCGGGAGCAGGAGGGCAGGGCCACCCACTGGATCAGGCGGGGAGGTGTGGGTCAGGGCCCTGTCACTGCGGATGGTCTGGCCCTTATCGTTCGTGCAGTCTCTCGGGCCCACACTAGAGTCTGGTGGCCCTCAGCCAGCACGGGCAGGGCTGTAAGGAGTGGGAAAGCCCTCTCACCCACCCGCCCTGTCTCTCTCCTATTCCCAAGCCCCACCTGTGCCGCTGACTAACCTCGGAGTCCCTGTCTGCCCCCAGGGGCTCCAGCTGCCTGCCCTTTGGGGACCAGCCCCCTTCTGTTCCAAGAGCCCCATTCCAGGGCCACCTCCTGTCCCCTGCACCCTAACCTTTGGCCTCAGCCCTCACCTCTCTGTGTGATGCTGCGTTGGGCCCCCAGAACCCCCTGCCGTGGTCTCGCTGCCCACTGAATGGCAACCGCACGGGCTACGACCAGGAGTGTGAGCTGGCTTCGTCGACACAGTACTTCTGGTACAGGAAGACCCTCAACATCTCGCCGTCCATCCAGGAGAGCGGCGGTGTGCAGTGGGAGCCGGCGCTGTGCCTCGTGCTGGCCTGGCTCGTGGTGTACCTGTGCATCCTCCGGGGCACCGCGTCCACCGGCAAGGTGGGCCGGCACGGCGGGGGGACCGGTGCCCGGGAGGCGGGGGCGGAGGCCAGCGGGGCCACCAGGCTGCCTGCCGTCCTCGAGGGGCAGAAGCTGTGCTGGGGGAGGTGCAGGTCACCTGCTAGGTGACTGTAAAAATGGCCAGTGGTGCTTGGGTCACAGCCCTGAATCTCAGCACAAAGGGCTCCCCGGCCACCTGGAGAGGCGAGCGCTGTACCTGCCAGCCCCCACCCCACGCTGCCCGAGCAGCTCCAAGCGGCCATACAGGGAGGGAGCCACCCCAGCCCCGGTCTCACACCAGCTCCAGTCGGCATCTCCTGGCGCGCTTTACAGCTCCGCCGCCTGGGTCCGACCCCCAGAGGCTCCGGAGTAATCGGCGTGGGGGGCGGCCTGAACCCCGGGGGCTTCAGAAGCCCTCCAGGTGCTCCTGCGGTGAAGCCCAGGCTGAGGGCCTCCTGCTGCTCCATCGGGCCGATTTATAAACCTTTTCTCCTCCTGCTGGGCTGATGTTCCTTCAACTCTGTCCTGCTCCACCGCTGTGGGGTCTCATGGGGACCGCAGGCCTGCTGTGGGTCTCCAGCAGGCTGACTCTGCCCTCTGGGGCCCACAGGTGGTGTATTTCACAGCACTGCTGCCCTACTGCGTGCTCATCATCTACCTGGTCCGGGGCCTCACGCTCCACGGAGCCACGAACGGCCTGGTGTACATGTTTACCCCCAAGGTACGGACGGGCTCAGGGGACGGGTCCCTGGGTGCACCCCACTCACCCTGCCCTCTTCCAGAATGGGTGGGCAGAGAGGGGGGAAGGCGAGGGAGGGGGGAATGGGGTCCTGAACCCCGGAGTCTGCTGCAGGCCCTCCAGGCCTGCGGAGGGGATGGATTAGCAGCGGGGGTGGAGTCACCGCCCCCACGGGACAGTCCCCAAACCCTATGAATTCTCAGGCATTGAGTCTTTTGCTTTTTAATCCTCACCCAAGGTCACACTCACTGTTGTTAAAGAGAGAGGGAGGGAGGGAGCCATCAATGCGAGAGAGAAGCATTGATCAGACTGAACCCGAAACCTAGGCATGTGCCCTGACCAGGAATCAATCCCACAACTTTCTTTTTGGTTTATGGGATAACACTCCAGTCAATTAAGCCACGTCAGCCAGGGCTCAGGCATTGAGTCTTTTGTCCCCTCACCCTCCTGGTCCTCTCTGACCCCCAACAGCGGCTGCCCAGCTCCATGGGTGGCCTCCTGGCCACAGCCTCCCCTGCCCCCGCCCCAGGAGCTAAGCTCTCTGCCTCCAGCACCACTCCGGTCTTCTGGGTCTCCTGCTGGCCACTGCCAGGGGCCACTCTCCCTACAGGGCAAGGCCACACCCTGCAGGGTTCCCTCGGCCCTGGCAGCCCCTCGCAGCCAGCATTCACCACCGCTGCCCGTCGGGGCAGGACAGGTTCTCCCCTGAGCGAATCTGGCCCCTGGAAACAAAATGACTGTAGTAGCAGCCTCTCCCCAGACGTCGACCCCACTGCCAGGCCACAGTGCTGCCGCCTCACGGGCTGGGCGCACAATCCCCTTTAAGGCGATTCTGCCCTCACTTTCCAACAGCACGCCTCCTGTGGACACAGGGCAGGGCAGGGCAGGGCAGGGGGGACACGCTTCATCTGCCGAGGAAGGGGGCAGTACCAGCGGGAGGCCGGGAGCCTCGCTCACAGCGCCCGGCCCACCCTCCCCTGGCCAGGGAGTTTGGGACCCCACCAGGGTTCACCGGCCCTGCCCCTGCTGGCCTCCTAGGTGGAGCAGCTGGCCAACCCCAAGGCCTGGATCAACGCGGCCACCCAGATCTTCTTCTCGCTCGGCCTGGGGTTCGGCAGCCTGATCGCCTTCGCCAGCTACAACGAGCCCTCCAGCAACTGCCAGAGGCACGCGGTGATCGTGTCCCTCATCAACAGCTCCACCTCCATATTCGCCAGCGTCGTCACCTTCTCCATCTATGGCTTCAAGGCCACCTTCAACTACGAAAGCTGCGTGAACAGGTAAGAGCCCCGGGCCTCAAGGGGGAGGAGACCAGTCTCCAAGGCTCCGAGTTGAAGGGGCACCTGGGAAGAGGTAGATGCCAAGGGCCAAGGGGTAGGGGGCAAAGGGCAGCAGCCTTGCCCAACTTCTTCTGCCCTGTCTCCCCACCTCAAAAGCAATCAGGTGCGCTCTCTCGCTGAGCCGCGGAGAGGACAGAACATACTTGCCGGGATCCCACCGAGGCAGAAGGAACACCCAGCAGGCGTCTCGAGCCCTGAGGGGCTACTTACAAATGTAAACTTAAACTCTGGTTTGAGTCAGTTCCTCGGTTGCACCTGTGGTCCGCGGACGCCCCAGCTGGATGGCGCGGATGTGAGGGGTTCCCGCCCTCCCAGGCCCTCTGTGGCCCAGAGGTTGGAGCAGCCTCACTGTGCACTGTGCGGATCGGTTCCGCCAGCCATCACCGCTCCCACCTGAGGCTTCTGCAAAGCCACCCAAAATACCTTGCCAGTTACAAGGTCACCAGTGCACAGGTTCCTTCTGTTGAGAACCTGGCCCCCTCAGAAAAGAAGGGGCCGGGTAGGCAGCCCGGTGCCCAAGCTTCCCTGGGGTTTGGGTCGGTGACAGTGGCCTTTCTAATTGGTGGAGGTCCACCTGACGCTCTGGCCCGCAGGGTGATTCTGCTGCTGACCAATTCTTTCGACCTGGAAGACGGCTTTCTGACAGCCAGCAACCTGGAGCAGGTGAAGGGCTACCTGGCATCCACCTACCCCAGCCGGTACAGCGAGGTGTTCCCGCAGATGAGGAACTGCAGCTTGGAAGCCGAGCTGGACACGGTGAGCGCTGGCGAGGTCTCTGGAGACAAACTCTTTGTCGTGGTCCCCCCACAACTCTGCTAGGAGAAGAGGCACCTGACCGCCCTCTCTTCCTTCCCTTTTTCTCCTTTTACATTTCAAAACAGCAGTGAAGTACAAAGAATAATATAACGAGCACCTATATACCTACCACCCTGAATGAACAATTGCAAACATTGGTTGTTTTTTGGGGGAGGCGGTGTAGATTTTTTTCTTTTAATATAAAAGGAAAGAACGTTTCAGGGACAAAAGGAAAGGCCCCTGGGACCAGCCTCAAACTTTGCCTGCTCAGCAGAGAGAAGCTCTTCCTGTTGACATTTTGATTACCCGTATAGATATCGTTAAACATTGTCATTTCGTTGGCAGTTTTGTACGTGGAAATAAGGGGTCCGGGGAGATAGATACCTTCCTCATTCAACCTTCTGTTTTCGGGGTCCACCCGGAATAATGCACGTGGAATCTCGTAACTCGCTTTAAGTGCAGCATTTTATTTTTACCACACAGATACACCGTCATTTATCTACCTCCTCACACTAGACATTTGGCTTTTTAAAAAAAAATTTGCTACTGACGTCACCCTTATTTATAGTTTACAGATTTATTTTTTACGTTGCTGGGGTCTTTATTTATTTATTTTCCATATTGATTTTAGGATGACTTTGACAAGTTCCATCGAGGAACCATGTTTTAGGAATTTTATATTTAGGAATTGATTCTTTGAATGTACATTGGGGAGAATTAATATTTTTTCGATTCAGGCCTTTTGGCGACTTTCGGTTCAGGAACGTTATTATCACGCACACGAGTCTTCTACCTCCTTCAACTGATCTTCTCCGTGAATTCCTGGGCTCGTCTTATCAGCTTTCTCTCTGGGTGCCTTGCTGTCCTGTAGCTCTCGTGAACGGTGTCTTTATTTCCTCTTTCTATCGTTGCGTATCTTTGTGGCGAAAGAGAGCTCCAGGTTGTCGTGTGCTGAGCTGGTTCGTAGCGACCTCGGTGAGCGCTCCCGCTCGGTCTCGGATTTGTCCTTTACTCACTTCAGTTTCCTGTGTGGACTCCTGTGTCGCCTGCTCATATTCTTCTTTCCAACCTTCTGTGGCTCCCTTTTTTTTTTTTTTCCCTATTGTACTTGCCAGGACTTCCAGCGCAGTGGAAGCAGAAATGAGAGTGGGCGTGTTTATCTAATTCTTATATTGCTCTTGGAGTCGGCTTCCAGAGAGTGTCTCTAGAGAATATTTTACGAGAATAGAGACGCGGGAAGGCCATCGCTCCGGCTGTCAGCGAGCCACCTGGGAGGCATTTTTGGCGTTTGTCACGGGGGAGCCCTGCTCGGTCAGTGTGTTGTGGCCGAGGCCCCACTGGCTCCTCCTGGCTGTCCCCCGACGCAACCCTCTGTCCCCAGGACCCAACCCCTTAGGGCCTGGACCCCCCCACTCAGCTGGCCCCTGAGGCCTTTGGCTTTAGCTCCTGTTCAGGTTCAAATTCCCTCTTTGTTCTTGGCACCTGGGCACCTTCCTTCCTTCCTTTCGAGCTTGGCTCAATGTCCAAGAATCATGTGGTTATTGATTTATTTCGGCTGCATTTCCCCTGTTGCGGGTTTTTCCTCATTCCACCTCACTCTCTGCTGTTTGGAATGTGTATGTTCCCCGTCTCTCCTTGAAAACTTTCCACGCGTATTTAACTGAAGAAAACCCAAAGGTAAACACCGTCTTGACTTCAGACCACCTTCTCTCCTCCCTCCTGTTTTCAGCGCCATTTTTGTCCAGTTCTGCCTTTTTTAAACTCATAAACTGGCTATTTTTGTTCTTTCATACAGACAGTGTTTGTGTTTATCTTCATTAGGCGTTTTATTTATTCACCATTTCTTCTTGCACCCCGGCCGTCCCCTGGGGTTCGTCTGGGGTTGGGTTTTTTTTTCCTCCCTTAAAATGCATTCCTTTACTGCAGGTTTTTATGATAAATGTTTCAAGTGTGCAGCACAGTGATTCGACACCTGTCCAACTTACAAAGTGATCGCCCCAGTGATCCAAGTGCCTTCCCGACACCAGGCTTATTTGTTCCAATATCGTTGACTGTATTCCCTGTGGGGCACTGCACATCCCCGAGACCGTTTTGATAACCGGCAGTTTGTGCTTGTAAATCCCGTCACTCGCCTCCCCCACCTGCCTCCCACCTGGCACTGTCCACTTGTTCTCTGTACCTGTGACTTTGTTTCTGTTTGGCCCCATCTTTTAAAGGTGGTTTTCCCGCCCTGGCTGGTGGGGCTCAGTGGAATGAGCAGCGGCCTGCAAACTGGAAAGTTACCAGTTTGATTCCCAGTCAGGGCACCAGCCTGGGTTGCAGGCCAGGTCCCCAACTGAGGGCGTGTAAGAGGCAACTGCACATTGATGCTTCTCTCCTTCACTTCTCCCTCCCTCCCCTGTAAAAGTAAATAAATAAAATATTAAAAAATAAAGACCATCCTGGGGGTCCTAATCAGGGCACCTTCCCCCCAGAGAGGTTTTGCTTCCTCTTCTGATGCTGGTACCCAGGGGACATGGTAGCCATGACCCCTTTCAGTCCCTCCCCCCGGAGGTTGTCTTTAAACAGGAGCTCCAGGCTCAGTGTCCACAGTTCAGTGTCCCCACAGCGGTGTCTCCACCTCGGGGACCCCGCCCCCCGAGCAGCCCCGCCCACCCGGCCGCCTGCTGGCCAGGCTGGCTCCCACCGGTGTGTGCCTGTTGCTCTGGCTCCGCCATCCCGCCTCAGCTGGCAGCCACCGAGGCCTCAAACACCAATCAGTTGTGACATTGGAAGCAGAAATTACCAAAATGTTTTATGATGCTTTAACTAGAATTTCTGTGAGTTGGGGCAGGAAAGGGGTCTTGGTGTCCCCACTTGATGGAAATGTCTCCTCACACACACGGACCCCTTGGCTTCACAGTCCAGCGCTCGGTCCACTGAGCCACTCCAGCCAGGGCTTCACACAGACCCCAGGCAGCTCACATCCCTGTCCACCCAGCGGAGCCGGAGGGCTGAGCTGCAGATGGGAGGTCCAGTCTCAGCCTGTGGCTTCTCAAGGTCCACTCCGAGGTCCCCCCAGCCCCGCCGTGTGTTTGGGGAGACGTCTGTCCCTGGGGTGAGTGACTGGGGTCTGCTTGCTGTGGGCAGGCAGTCCAGGGCACGGGCCTGGCTTTCATCGTCTACACGGAGGCCATCAAGAACATGGAGGTGTCCCAGCTGTGGTCGGTGCTGTACTTCTTCATGCTGCTGATGCTGGGTATCGGGAGCATGCTGGGCAACACGGCCGCCATCCTCACCCCGCTGACCGACAGCAAGGCCATCTCCAGCCGCCTGCCCAAGGAGGCCATCTCAGGTGAGCCTGCGGGCCGGGGGAGGTGGCGGGACTCCGTGGGGAGGTGGGATGTGAGGGACAGGCAGATGGACAGGCTGCCTCAGGGGCCGTGTGCCTGTTGAGGTGGCCACAGGGGCTGCGGCAACCTCACGGGGGCCCTGCGCTGGCCTTCTCCTCACCGAGGGCCCCTGGCACCTGCGATTCCCCCTGTGCGTCTGGTTCTGCACCCCATGGGCACGTGCGGGGCCACCCCAGCCTTGGGAGGTGGCCATACTCCCAGATGGCAGCACCCAGGGCTCTGCAGGCCAGGGAGAGGCCGCCTCTGTCTGTTCAGTGGAGGGACAGCAATGAGAGCAGGTGCCTCCTGAAGCCCTCGCTCCGTGAGTGTCACCTGCATGTCCACTTCCTGCCCCAAAGTCACCACTGCTCTCACCACCACCCTTCTATGTTGGCCCCCCTTTCTTGACTTCACGTACGTGGAGTCACACATGTGTGCAGCCTGTGTGTCTTCTTCTCTCAGACTCTGAGACCCGCCCACACTGCTGGGCCGGCAGTTGTCCGTCCAGGTCCTGCCCCCGTGGTAGTTCATGGTCAGAGCAGACACAGTGCTCCTCTGCCTTCCGGCCGCCGTGGGGGGGCAACAGCGCTGTAGGGAAAGAACCCGCTTTCCCAGTTGCTCCACCGCCCGTCCGCCCCACTCCGACCCTGCAGACCCTCCCCTGTCTTTGATGACGCTGCCCCTCCACAACCACTGGGTCCGTCCTCCCGCCCAGACTCCCACCCCTTCCTCTTGAAGTCCTGCTCACCCTGCGGAAGTGCCCACCCTTCGTCCACGCCCACAGCCACGTTACGTGCGCCCGCCCCAGCCCACCGGTCCTCCCCTGTGGCCCCTTCAGGATGGGGTGCAGTGGCCAGGGGTACACGGTGTCACAGTGGAGCGAGCAGATGGGAGCTTTAGTGTCAGATACTCAATGGGGCGCCCAAGGGCGGCAGCGGAAGGAGACCAGGACAAGAACCGATTCTGGAGGCCGCCGGGCCTGTGCTTGAATCCTGCCTCCGCCATTTACGTGCTGTGCAGCCCTGGGAAAGTTACTCAACGTCTCTGAGCCTGGGCTCCCCCACCTGTACGAGGGGGCTCCTGATATTTGTCTCAGAGACTTGAGGATCCAGTGCGTGGCCAGTGCCTGGGGCAGGGGGGGAGTTGAGTAAACATCCCAGTCTTCTCTTGCCTTCACCCCCACCCACTTCTGCTCAGACACGAATCCTCGCTAGGAAGCCCTGTGAGGGTCATCCCGCAGCTCGCATCTCCCGCCCCAATGCACCTCCCAGGAGCTCAGGGACTGAGTTGTTGAGATAACCGTATCAGGAGATTCACAGTCTGGGCGGGCTTCCCAGGAGAGGAGGCCCGCAGAGTTCTCTTTTCCGTTGAGCTGGTGCCCCCTGCTGGACGGCTCCTGAATTGCCGTCAGTGACACTCCCTGGGACACCTTGCCCCCGCACGCCCCAAAACCACGCACCCACGCCCATGCACACATGGTACACACAATCAGAGAGGCCAGGCCATGACGCTCTCCCAGCCCACGTGGGTGAGCCCGTCGGCCAGAGTCCCCTTGGCATCCACGGCTGGGCTGCCCCGCAGAAAACTGGGGGCGCAGGGTGGGTCTCGGGCAGGTGAGCAGGCAGGTGCTCTCGTGGCCCCAGGTCTGGTGTGCCTCATCAGCTGTGCCATCGGCATGGTGTTCACCACGGAGGCCGGCAACTACTGGTTCGACATCTTCAACGACTACGCGGCCACGCTGTCCCTGCTGCTCATCGTCCTGGTGGAAATCGCGGCCGTGTGCTACGTGTACGGGCTCAGGAGGTGAGGAGGCCCCGCCCCCAGCTGCTGGGGAGCCGCCCCCCCGCCCCACTCCACCTGCCTAGCAAAGCCCTGTCTCCCCAGATCACAGCTAATTCTCCTCACTTCCTGGTCAGTTTGCCTTCAACCGCATCTTCCCTGTTCCCCAGGCTCTCACCTTTTAGCAAAGGATACTGGCCTGTTGAGTCTGCTGAGCCCCACTGGCGCCCAGGGCCAGGGAGTCATCCCTCACGCTGACCCTTGGCCAACACCAGTAGTTTTCAGGCCCACTGACCAAAATCCAGCTGATAACTGGGACCTCTGCCGCTGGGCAGATGTGGGATGTCAGGTTCTCAACCCTGGTGCCCAGCGCAGCCCTGGAGTGTTTGAATCTCCCGGGGGATGGAATGGGTGGCCTGGCCGAGAACCACGGTCTGGGGTCCCAGAGTCGCAGCTTGTTAGTATCAGGGGCTTGTTAGAATGCAGAGTCTCAGGCCTACCCACCCAAGTCCCTGAATCAGATCCCGTATTTTATTTTGACGCGTCCAGGGGTCCGAGACCCCATTACATTTTGGGGTTCGCTGATTGGATGTGAGTCTGATGAGAAGGGCTGTCCAGAGTGGTTCCCCGGCCCAGTCCTTCACAGTCTTCCTGACCGATTTAGGGGCGGGCCGGGGGCCCAGCGTGCTGCCAAGTGGAAGCCCTGCTGAGGGATTTCCATGATCAAATAACTCAGGACACAAGTTAAAGCCAGCTCTCTCAGAGCCTGGAGGACAACTGTGGCTCTCCAAGAGGGGCCTGCCGTTCACGGCATTTCTAAAACTGGCCTGGCCAAGGAATGCCTTTTTATCCCCGCCCCCCCCCCAACAGCTAGCAACATGGGCTCACCCCAGTTTCCCCGGAAGGAGGGTTTCCTGGGGTGTGGGGGTTTTCGGTGCTGAACCCAAGGACTTCTCCAGTAAACTGGGACAAACGGGTCACCTAGAAAGTGCCTGTACAGAGGGAGAGAAAGAAAGATTGGTCATCTGAGAGGCTGGGTGTTTCAGGGTAAAGGGAGAAGGCTGGGGATGGAAGGACAGAGCCTAGGGCCCACTGGGGGCACTGGAAAGGGGCACCAGTCGGTGCACAGTGCGTGTTGGGGATGGAGGGAGAAACTGGAAGGTGCCCTCCGGATGTCGTAAGCAGCCAGAACTGAAAATGACCAGCAGAGGGCAGCCTTTCTGCGCGCACAGGGGACAGCGCCATCTCGTGGCCACTGTGCAACAGTACCACGCGGCCTTTTTTCCTGAAGCCCGTTCTTCCCTCCTTTCTCTCCTTGTGATAGCGGAGGGCAGGGCAGGTCAAGGGACAGGAGACCCCAGCACTTTCTGCTGTATGTGGTCTTGAAAATCCATCATGTTCACATTACGTACGTAAGTCCTCATAGCCTAGAGCCTAGGGTCCAGCTAGGTCAGCGGCAGCACAGGGGCAGGTAGAGGTCTCTGTAGGCTCACGTGGGAACCAGGACAGGCCAGGAGTCCAAGTGAGGCAGGTGGTGGTGGCTGCAGCCGTTGGCAGTCACACCCTGCTCCCCCCTCCCGCCCTCCCTCTACGACTGCCTCTCCCACCATGGGGAGCAGCTTTGAAGACCCTGGGCGGGGTGGGCCACAACCTGGGAGCCCTCCAGCAAGTCCCACCTCCGCCCTGGGCCCTGGTCCTTCCGCGCCGTGAAACCTCGAGGGGCTGGGTCAGCGTGACCCAAAGCGCTGAAGATGCTTTCCAGGCTTATTTGTGTGTGTATTGAAAAATACACGATTGGCCCGTCAAACCCACAATCACATGGGTGTTGTTGCCATGGCTAAACTTAGGCAAAAGAGTCGATTTAAAGAAAAGGAAAGAAAGGCGGTCCGCAGACAGGGTTGGCCGCAGCGGCGTCTGCGGGCCGCCCTGGCTCCTCGCCCCAGGCTCCAACCGCTGGCCCCTCTGCCTTCAGGCCCAGGTCTGCCTCTCTGTCCCCAGGTCCCAGAATGTGGTCGGTTCTGCTGTGGTTTCAGGAGACAAAAGAGCTTCCACTCTGGGGGTGTTACTTATTTTAAAAATGTTAAATGTATTGATTTTTAGAGAGTGAGAGGAAGGGAGCGAGAGAGACATCAAGTTGTTGTTGCACGAATTTATGGCGTATTAGGACGACGCTATAACCAGCTGGGCCACCCGGCCAGGGCCTCCCTCTCGCAGTGTTTCCAATGGGCAGTAGAGTCCCTGGCAGATGCCAGGGTGGGAGGGGTGGGGCAGACCTGCCCCTGGGGGTCCCCTTGTGTCGAGACCCATGCTCTTTATTCCCACCACTGCTGGGAGCTGCCCTCCGGTCTCCACCAGAGCCTTCGGCGGACACTTGGCACCAGGAAGCTGCCTCCTGACGCCCACTGCTCTGTGGGGTGGCTGCTTTGCCCTGGCTCTGTAGCAGCTTCAGCCCTTCGCCCCTCCGACACCCAGCACCCCGTCCCCAGAAGGAATCAGAGAGGGAGGCCCCGTGGCTGTGTTCAGTCGTGAGTAACCTAGACTTTCTCTCCTGTCTTCCACGTAGATTTGCAAGTGACCTTCAGGCCATGACCGGCCACCCTCTGAACTGGTACTGGAAGGTCATGTGGGCCGGCGTGAGCCCGCTGATCCTCATCAGCCTCTTGCTCTTCTACCTGAGCGACTACGTCCTCACGGGGACCCTGCAGTACCAGGCCTGGGACGCCGCCCAGGTACCTGCCCCCCGGGCCCCACGCTCCCTGGGGAGCACAGGCCTTAGCTTCTGAAACCAGGGCACCTCTACCGTGGCTTGGGCAGGTTACTTGTCACGGCATGCAAATGTCACCCAGGCACTTCAGAGCTCTCAGCCCAGGACGGCAGAGCTGGGCTTCGAGCTTTTCAATGGATGTTGCACTAAGTGGAGATCCCTCCAGCACTTCCCCGGGGCCTTCTCCTGGGAGAAGGGAAAAGCTGCCTGCAAAGGCCCTGGTTCCTGCCTCCGGGCCTTTGGCCAGCAGGCCCTCCAACTCGGCGGAGTGCACCAGGCCTCCGTGGGAGAGGCGGACGTGCCTGGAGGCGTGGGCTGTGCCCCCGGCCGCTGACCCTGTGGGGGGCAGGCTCCCGGGCCCTGCGGGACTTGACCACACACCTGAGTTGCTGGATCCAGGGGAGGCCTGGCCCTGGGTGTGGCTGGCACAGAGCTGTCCACCAACCAGAAGGGCGGGGTGTCGGCATTTTCACAGCCAGCTCAGCCATTCATGATCCGTCCTGGCCAGCCCAGGCTGTCCTCACATGGACACACTTTCATAGAAAAAAAAAAAAGGGGGCCAGTTTGGCTTTCTTTCCCAGTGGGTAGAAGACATAGTGTGTGTGGTGTGTGCAGAGCAGTGTGTGAAGGGCCTGGCGAGCCAGCTCACGCCCCCTGCCCACCCCAAGCAAACCGAGGCAGGCACAGCCTGAGAGGCCGCCCTCCGTCTGGTGAGGTCGAGCCCGCTTCTCAAACTGGGCGAGCGTGGGGGTGTTTTCTCCACCCCTCGCAGGCTGATTCTTTCTTAGGATGCACTAAGAATGACAAATGAAATGGAAAAAAAAAGTACACACAAGTGCCCATTATTTACTAGATTCAACAGACACGAGGAAATGCAGTCCCGTTGCTGAAAACAATTTGTAAATGTTCCCTCCCGACGTCTGTGCTCGTCGGTGCAGAGCAGAAGGACGGCCGCTAGGGGGCGGAGCGCCATTTGGTTTGCGGACCGCATTTTGCTGGCCGTGAACACGTTGAATACAATTCAAACAGAGCGGTCCTGTGGCTCCTTTGTGGCAAGATGGCATTTATTGGCTTTTGGGCCTCATTTCTCATCGGTTTTAACACATCGCATCTGCAGAAGCATCCCCATCCCACCAACTAAATCCAGATTCACGAGGCTTCTCTCGACACCGCAGCTTGCTGTTCAATAGGGTAGCCCATGGCCAAAGGAGCTATTTAAATTTGTTAAAGTTAAATAGAATTTAAAAATTCAGTTGCTCCGTTTCACTTGCAGCAGTTCAAGTGCTCAGTGGCCACCTGTGTCTGGTATTGGACGGCACAAACCAGAACGTTCTCCTGGACCTTGCAGGGCTGAGGCCGCCCTGACCTCTAGGTGCACTGCCCTGCGCCCCAAACGTCAGACCACTGGCTATCCCTGTGCTCCCTCTTTATGGGTCCCTCCAAACACTGGCTCTCCAGGTCCTGGCTGAAGCATGTGGAAGAGAGAGTAGATGGGGGAGCTCACCTGCCCAGCACCCCTGCTAGGGAGCCTCGGAGCCGCAGGGACAGCGGGGTCTGCAGGGCGCGACGCCTTCAGATGGTTCCGCCCGCAGAGGTTCTTGCCTCTGACGCTCAGCTTCTCTTTTCAGGGCCAGCTCGTGACCAAGGACTACCCCACGTACGCACTGGCGGTCATCGGGCTGCTGGTGGCCTCCTCCACCATGTGCATCCCCCTGCTGGCCCTGGTGGCTTTCATCCTGCGCTGCCTCAGGAGGGGAGGGGACACGGCCTCCGAGGCCTGAGAGCCGGGCCTCCTGGAGGCCACGGCCAGTGCTTGTCTCCCAGCTGCTGTTTCCAGGTGGCACGGCCTCGGCTGCTTTTGCAAGTGTTGGGCTCCCGGAGCTCCCAGCCCTCATCTTCCCGAGCCCAGAAAGAAGAGTCGGGAAGTGTAGAGGGGGGAGGTGCCCCCTGGAAACCCACACCCTGTCCCCCCAACAGCCCCTCCGGCCGCTGCCTCCCCCCAAGGTCATACAGGCTGTCTCCTTGTCACCCCAGAGGCAGGCTTTTCAAGGCCGGTCTTAACGACAGTTGCTTCCTCGATTCTAGGAGCATCCTGGAATTAGAGTTCAGTGAGCTGAAATGTGACTGTGACTTTTATGGGCCAGAATGTCAGCCGTGGCCTCCCCCAAAGAGGTTCCCAAACACGAGAGGGCCATCGTTTCCTCACCAGTTTGAAGAGTTCTCTAAGTGCCTGAGAAGACAGATCTGAACATCACCAGGGCAGACTCAGTCCTCGCCTCTCTGTCGCAGTGACGATGCATATGCCACGCCCTCCTTCACTAACGGGCCTGACTGGCCGTCAACAAGGCTGTGGTTCGGGACTCACAAAATTAGAATTTCTGTAAGCCCAGGTCCTTCACAGCGGGCCCAGGGCCAGTCCTCTCAACAAAAAGGGCCCCAACTCCGGTTTTAGCGCTGCTGGGATGGCAGGCATCCACCTAATGTGCATTCGGGTGCAGTGGCCAGGCCAGTGTAGGGAAGACCAAGAGCACTACTCACAATCCAATTAAACGTATTTATCTGTATATAAGTTTTCTAAAATGTACATAACTCAAACAGAGCACCTTGTAACTGAAGTCACCATATTTATGATAAAGCTTTTGTCCACCATGCCGATGTCTCCCGCCTCTTTTTTTTAACTGCAGTGGGTGGGTCCCTTCCCGCTTTAATGTTCTGAGACCCTGGGGGTCAGGGTGGCTGCTCTGGGTTGGTTGGTACAGACACCTCTGAGGACCCTTAAGCACTCCCTTTTGACATCGCTGGAGATATCTTTGGAAAAAAGTCTTCTCACACTACAAACTCTCCTATGGCATTAGGAAGGTCTTCTGCTGTCTGGACCTGCCACCTTATCAGCACTTGCAGCTTCAGCTGATGGCCATGGTAAAACGATCACCTGCCTTTAAAATAGCTGAACCAGCTCTGACTGGTGTGGCTCAGCGGGCTGGGCATCCTCCTGCAAACTGAAAGGTCACTGGTTCGGTTCCTAGTCAGGACGCAAGCCTGGGTTGTGGGCCCCCAGTTGGGGGCGTGCGAGATCAGTGCTTCTCTCCTTCCCTTCCCCTCTCGCAATAAATAAATGAAATCTTTTTAAAAGGATAAAATGGGAAAGATTAAATAGCAAAATGGGTGATCCAGCAGTTATTTATCCCAAACTGTCCGTCTTTGATTTCTTATCAGAAGGTGTTGACACCTCATACACCAAGAGCGCTCAACGGCAAACCCACAGGGCAGTCTGCTCCCGAATCCTTACAGATCAGACCCCGCCCCCAGCAGTACGGCCCCGCCTTCCTGGCGTCAGGCGTCAGAGGGCGTTGCAGCCCCAGATGCCGGGTGCGCGCAGGGCCGTAGAGACAGTTCTCCGACACCATCACTTTATTCACAGTATTGTGAGAAAAAGACTGTATTGCAGCGGTCTCCACCTCGCCGGGGTTCCGAACCACCTGGAAGCATTTAAAACCCTGGCGCCCAGGCCACGCCCTGGAAACACCAAATCTGAGAACCGACGCGCCGTTGGAGGAGGTAAATGTGTTGTGCATGGCAGAATACTGACATCCGAATGGCCTTAAGAGGTCTGGAAGCATTTTTGAGCATTTCCAATTGTACAGAAATGTCACCTCCACAAAATACTTTTGCTCACAAAAGTCAGATCAATGAAATTGCTCTATTTATAGAATAATGAGCTCCAGGTGAGCTGTCTCAAGTTTCAGCTGTTTCACTCCGGTTTCTGTGAACTTGGTGGAGAGTAGGCTATTTCTCAATAATTCTCTTGAGCCAGTAATAAGACAGCTCTCAAAAAATTCTTTGTTGAATATTTTCTAGGTTCTTTTTTTTTAAAGGTTTAATTTATTTTTAGACAGAGGGGAAGGGAGAGAAACATCAATGTGTGGTTGCCTCTCACATGCCCCCTACTGGGGACCTGGCCTGCAACCCAGGCCTGTGCCCAGACTGGGAATCAAACCTGCAACCCTTTGGTTCACAGGCTGGCTTTCAACCCACTGAGCCACACCAGCCAGGCCTATTTTTTTCTAGGTTCTTCACAAAACTGGTCATCTGGACATTCGTCCACCCCCTTCCTGTGCATCAAGCTGGAGAGAAAAGGGTCATTTCCAACCCTGTGCCCTTGTCAGTAACCATGGCGATATGGCCTGGCCGCCAACTCCACGAAGCTTTCTGTTTCCACTGGAAACATAAGAACCCTTGACTTACTTAGCTCTGAGGAATCAGGTGGAAAGTGTTTGGTTTTTAGCAACCGACATCATAAAGAAAACCCTAAACAAGTGTATCTAGGGATTTTTTTTGTCATTCCCCGGCTGCGGTGTTAAAGCCCCTTTCTTGACTCAGCATTGCCCTTCCTTCTGTATACACCAAGCTAATTTGGGAAACATGGAAAGTAAAGAAGAGGAGGAGAATCCGCCCGGTCTTTTTTCTTTTCCACGTTTGCCTCCACGTGAGCCGGGTGAAACCACACCGAGACAGCGTAGGGGACCTGGAACTCGAGAGGGTGACGGTTAGTTTCCGTAAGAAGAGTTAGAAAACAAAGTTTCTAATCATCTGGGTTTAAGCCAGAGGCGGAGCTCTCCTGAACGGCTGCCCTCCTTCCCGCCCCCTCGAAAGGCGTCCTGGGCAGTCGGCCCATCTCCGGATCTCTCTCTGGCTGAGGCCGTGAGAAAACACGATAGGTTAGCGCCGCACGTTACAATCATGCTTCAGGGAAAGAGTGTGGATAGAGCACTCTCCTTGATTTTTTAAAAAGATTTTATTTTATTTATTTTTAGAGAGAGGGAAAGGAAGTGAGGAAGAGAGGGAGAGCAGGTCAGCGTGCGGCTGCCTCTTGCACGCCTGCTACTGGGGGACCTGGTCCTCATCCCAGGCATGTGCCCTCAGTCAGAATTGAACCAGAGACCCTTTGGTTCACAGGTCGGTGGTCAGTCCGCTGAACCACACCAGCCAGGGCGTCTTCGATGTTCGTTTGGGTACTTTTCATGGAAAAATACATTCATGGCTGTTCTGCTATGTAGATAAAAAGCTGGGGCAGGGAATGAATTAACTCATCATTTTCTGTTCAACATCAGGGGAAGGAAAGAAAAAAACAGATTTAAACATCACTTTGCAAAGCAAAAAAGTGCATCTACAAATATGAAATTCTGAACCGGAATTTCTTGACCGTTTTCTTACATGTGAGTTGCTTTTCTCCCCAGTGCCCACCTGCATAGTATCAGCCTCCACTGAGATCCCCAACTGGTGTATGACAAACCAGTCCCTCGGTGGGCGCTGGGGACAGTGCTGAGCGGGGCAGACACAGTCCCTGGCCTTTTATGCACCTGTATTCTGGAAAGCAAGAGAGACAGTGATGAGTGATAATGAGATCATTGCAGGTGTGGTTGTTTCTGAGAAGCAAGCGTGGTCCAAGTGACGGTGTGAGAGGGACGGCACCTCGATCTGTGGTCGAGGAGCAGCTTCGAGAACTGGGTTTTGAAGGGGAAGAATGAAGTAGTTACTGGAATTGCTGGGAGGTCCATCTAGGCAGAGGCAACCACAAGGGCGGAGGCCCTGAGCTGAGCAGGGGGAAGGAGGAGGTCTGCAGTTGGAATGAGGACGAGAGAGTGGAGGTGACCTGCAAGGGGTGCCAGGGGCCAGGTCACAGAGGCCTTGGGGGCCATAGCAAGGAGCTTGGGTGGGACTCAAAGAGCACAGAGCCTCACTGAGCAGTTAACATGGGGCCCTGTGGATTCTGACTCACACTTGCGAGATCACTGTCACCTGTGGAACAGGGATGAGGGAGGGATGTCGATGGGAAGTTGAAGAATCACTCCAGCGTCTCCTTAATAAGTTCACAGGAGACCACGGCATGGACTTGGAAATGGATGTGGAGAGAGGTGGGCAGGCTTGAGTTTTACTTTCGGGGGAGAGCTGCCTGGACTTGCTTATGCATTGGATGCAGAGTTATGAGCAGGAGAGGAATAAAATGCTTGATGTCCCGGGTGGACGCTGGTGGCCTTTTGTGAGATGGAGAGAGCTGGGAAGGGAACGAGTCTGCAGGACAGGAATCGAGAGCTCCGTCTGATCCGCCACGTTTGAGATGTCTGAGAATCGGGGGGCACATCCAGTAGGCAGTTGAACATAAGGCTCTGGGGCTTTGGGGAGGGTCTGGTCCAGAGATACAGTTGGGGCCACCAGCATGGAGATGCTATTTAAAGTTGCAGGTCTACATGTCATGCCCCAGGGTGAGTGTGGACCTGGGTAAAAGGGCTCGGGTCCAAGACCTAAACAAACAAACAAACAAACAAACAAACAAAAACCCAAAACCAAACCCACTGGCCCAGGCAGCCCTGAGCCAGCATGGAGAAGCCCGATACTCTGAGGCTACCATGCTGCAGGGCCACTCGGAGCTGCTCCAGCTCACAGGACCAGCACAGTCCACCCTCCGCCATCCTTGCTAACACACAGACCAACGTGGACCAGATAGACCCACCCATCAGCCTGCTGAGGACAACTGAGGGACCTCCATCAGTGCCACCTGGAACAGAAGAACCACCCAGCTGAGCCTTGCCCCAGTTCCTGACTCACAACACAGCCAGGTTACTCTCTGGAAGGAGGTAACTAGGACGGGCTAGAGAGGGGAGATGCCCAGGCAGTGCCACGGGGACTAAAGCTGGAGGGGAGCCAGGAGAATGTGCGGTCTCGGGGCTCAGCGAGAGCATCTCAAGTTCTCTTAAATACGACTTACCACCTGCACTTCCTACTTTTCCTATCCTGAGTCAGTGTTTAAACCCAGCCCTACCAGAAGCTTAAGGCAGGACATTGAATGTAACATGATCTTTAATGGATGATACTTTAGCTCTGCACAGCTAGAATAATAAACAGGCCACAGTCACACATCACTGAAACTGGTGAGTGGACAAAGGCAAACACTTGGACCTTGGGCTGAAACCAACAAAACAAGTAAAACTTCGTGCTCAAAAGAATCTCTCAAGGGAAGTGCTGAGAACAAACAAGCCGCCTAGCAGCTCACCTGGGAGCAGGTGAGTCACTTCCTCACTGCCCCTCCCCCAGTGAAAGCCCATTCTCAGCTGAGGAGAGGGAGACACGAAGGGAGATCGGAAGTAGATGATACACCTATTTAGGGGTACACCTGTGTACTCAACCAGGAAGAAATGCATGGAAATGTAAAGAAAAAAGTAAGACGTGTGCGATCTCAGGGTGAGATGTAGTGGCCTTGGGAGGGAGAACACGGGGCTTCGAAGACGCAGGTTCTGGGCCTGCGTCAGGAGGGAAGCGGTGAAGCTGTGGGTTGAGCAGGGGTAGCCAACTGCTACAGCAGCGTCTTCCCGCACACTCCCTCCGAGAGGGAGGGGAGCAGGGTCACCGGTGCCAGCAGCCTGGCTGTGCCTGGGAGGGGAGTTCCCAGGGTGCTTGCTGGGTCCCCGTCACCCCATCCAGAACCTGCTTCCTCTTGGTCCCCTCTCCTCTCACAGGTGAGCGAGCACACTCCTTGCGATTGTAGGCGCTGGTGTTTGAGCCACACAACTGACGTCAAGTGAAATCAGATGAGCAGTGCCCACTAGCTCCTGCCCAAATTGCAGGCTTTTGTGAGCAAAAGTTACCATTGTTTTATGCCACTTTTCGGGCAACCAGGACAGCTGGGCCTTAGCTGAAGCCCCACCCCCTGCAGACCAGCTGGTTTCCCCCACCTTTGCTCTGCGTCACACCTCCCCAGGTCCTCTCCTTACTGGCTGTGGAGGAAGATGTCTACGAGGGCCCCAGTGATCCCCACCTCCTGGCGCTCATGTCCCCCTGAAGCTCCCTCCTCCTGGGCTGAGCTGGAAGGAGTGGCTCGTTTCTAAAGCATAGAATGTGACAAAAGTGACGAAACACTTCTGAGATGTTATAAAGGACAGGAATTCCCATCTTGCTGGCTTTGATGAACCAAGCTGCCATGCTGGAGGCCTCTGCGGCGAGCAAGCTAGGACTTGAAGGATTTATCCTCATCTACCTGTATCACAGTAATTTAATTTCTCCTGGCACCAGGTCTCCTAGGCAAGCTGGAGAAAACCTAAAGCCCCTCATTCATTTAAGTCACTCCCCCAGTACTGCCCCCCCCAGTCACTGGGGATTCAGTTTGTCCCCTCCTGACAGACAGTAAACCCCGGGGATCAGACTGACAAGTCCTCATCAAATGACGTGGGGGGGGTCACCCCCAGCACTAGCCCTCCTCCCAGTCCCACCCCAAGGACCCCCTCTTACGGGCGTACACGTGACTATTTCCCTAGTTTTGTCTGTCCTAAGTAATTTTTGTAAGAACACACAGTTTGAGTGGTCGTCACGGAAAGGAGTTTCTGCAGTGCCGGGACCTCCTGCTCCTCCAGCATTGCCGGCTCTGCGCTGACCACGCAGCTGACGATTCCGAGGAAATAAAGAGACATTGAAAGACAAAGCGCAGGAGCAACACCAACCGTGAGTGGTTAGAAAATACGACGTTTTATTTCCACTTACGGGTATACAGTACATGAGTTCAGAAACAAGGTCACGGCAGGGTGCAGTTGCCCACACCTGTGTCGGCCCCCCCTGGCGGCAGCGCCGGCTCGGCCTTCGTCGTGGTGAAGTGAGGTTCTTCACACGGACGGCCTGCGGTGCCAGAGGGACACGTGACAGCGGGTGGCGGCCGAGTTTCGGGGTTTCGTCTTTGGGACAAATTCTGTTTATTTACATGTTAGGAATAGGTAGTTCTAATCACTTATCCTAGTGCGAGTTTTAATGACTGATTTAAGCTACAGAAGGTTTTCCAGCTATTACTGCCTTTAGAGTTTCTGAAAGCAACACTTATTAACGTTCATAAAAGATAATGTTGGGAAAAAGGCAATGTTGAAATAAAGGTGCTTTTAAAGATGTTTAAGGGAAACAAGATTGCCATCAAAAACTGTACATATTTTCAAGCACAACACAAATATTGTAGCAGTATTTAACCAAACTGTTTTAAAATAGTGGCAATTATACTACCTTACATACTTTTCTAATATTTAAACCTCATAATTACAGTTTGATGTACAGTCCGACTTAGGCCTATGCACAGCTTCTAAAGCCTATTTCCAGGCTTGTTTTTACACCTACGTTAAAGCTGACGTTGGTCCTTGGAGAACTACACCCCACCTCAAAGCACTTGATTCAGACACACCCACGGTGGGGACCGAAGCCGGACACGGGCCGGCACCTCGGCGGCGCCCTGCACGGAAACGTGGCCGCAGCCTCGGCCTCTGTGTCCCCACCGACCCGGCACAGTAGCCCCTTGGGCCTCGCGTGTCCCCAGAGGGCCCCGGAGAAGCCACAGTGTCCTGGGGGACGTGGCTGTGGGCCACACCGGGGCCGTCCCGACAGAGGCGGCTTTGGACCATTAGCGTACTAGAGACTTTACATTCTTTGATTTCTTATAAAAGATAAAGAATCCGGAACTTTCTCATCATACTTACACGAAGCTGCACTCGTGCCGCAGCCCGACCACAACTCCCCAACACGCGGTCCCCGCTCCCCTCCCCACGGCAAAGTCACAGTCTGTTTTGTCAAACTCCTTGATGAATGTAAAAGACATTTTACAAACAGAGCAGAGTTAGCTTATTATTCAACTTTTAAGGAAAGTCCAAAGAGGTGCGGAAAAGTATGCTTGCTGACGGCAACTGCTTCCATAGTGGCAAAAATGAAAATGAGCTAGAAAAATAATTTTACTGTTTTAAGTACTGAAAGAAGCTGGATTTTTAAATATATTACTTATTTTGCTGCAGTTGATTAACTGACAATGAGTAATTTCCTTCCGTTCTGTGAGCTGAATTTGGGTCGCATTTGCAAGGCAGAACAGCCAAAGCTCTCAGCGTGACTGTCCCGACAGTGAAGGGGTCATCGGGACAGTGACGCCAGACCGACGTGCGGCTGTCACACACGTACGCACGCACACGCACGCGCGCACGGAGCTCCGGGTGCACTCTGGGACCGTGGCCGTGTGAGGACCTCAGGCTGCCGTGGAAAGCGGGTCAGTAAAGACTCCAGCTCTGCACAGTGGAGGCTTCCGAGCCGAGCCGCTTTCCACAGACACAAACTCAGTCTATCTTCTCTTTCTGAACCAATCGGGGGGCATCAACAAAATCTTTGCCGTTGTACAGAATAATAAAAAAGGTTCCGAAGCTTGCAACTCCCCAAAAGAGCACGTAGGCCAGCGTTTCTGTCCAAGTGTCACCTGTTGACAGAAAACACAGAGGTGATGAACCAACGTCACTCACTGACACCAGAACCCACTGTGACCTGCCGACCTGCCGGGTCTGCACACACGCCTGCAGGGACACGAGCAGCACCGCCCACTGCGGACCCAGAGCAGCAGTGCCAGGCTCTGGCTGGCATCGTAGCCTCCCCAGGGCCCGCCCAGCCTTCCTGATGTGGCAGGCCAGGGCCCGGGAACCTGCATTTCTGCCCACTGCTGGTCCAGGGGCTACAGCTGGGGAAGCACTTGACTAAGCTATTTCATGTTACATCACAGACATCATAACTGCTTTTAGATGATATATATTAATATTATAAGAAACTATCACTAGTATTTTATTCTTTTTCTTTCTCAGCCCTATTTTTTGTTGTTTATGTATATATTTTAATCCTCACCCAAGGATATATATGTTTTTTACTGCTTTTAGAGAAGGAGGAAGGAAGAGAGAGAGAGAAACATCTATCGGTTGCCCCTCGTAGGCGCCCTGACCAGGGATTGAACCTTCTGGTGCGTGAGGCGACACGTCAGCAAACTTAGCCACCCGGCCAGGGCACATCACTGGTAGTTTAGGTCACAGCATTAGTTACTGTCAAAATATCTACACAAAAGGAACTACAAATACACGTGTCAGGAAAGTTACGTAGCGGTGTCTAAAACAAACCCCACGACCACTTCAAAGGCACAGCCGTACACGACACAGCTCTCCCGGTGTGCACTTTATTCCCCTAAGGGTTCGCTTTACGGAATTTTGCCCGGTATCAGGCACACTTTTTGCCCAAATTTTTGAGGGAAAATAAAGAACGGGCGTTGCACATGGGTATAATGGACATACACCATGGGTATAACGCACCCAAAGATGCAGGCGCACATTATACATGGCCAAATACAGTATTTATTTTTAGAGAGAAACATCGATGTGAGAGAGAAACATCAATCAATAGCCTCTCGTTCACTCCCCAACCAGGGACCAAGCCCACAGCCCACGCACGTGCCCTGACTGGGAAGTGAACACCCGGCCCACTGAGCCCCACAGCTCTAGGCGCTGAAGTGCAGCCCCCACCAACCCCATTCAGATGTCCTGAGTCCCCACCAACCCCGTTCAGATGTCCTGAGTCCCTACCAACCCCACTCAGATGTCCTGAGTCCCCACCAACCCCACTCAGATGTCCTGTGTGGGGGCAGAACCCAGGGACACCGTGGGGGGGCAGCACCTGAATGGGGCCCCAGGGAGGTTCAGCCAGGCGGAGAAGTGCTGGCCCAAGGACTCAGGGGGAGGGTGAAGGCCAGGGTGCCTCAGGCCGCATCTCCAAAGCACAACGTGACCAGGCACAGGCCGGAATGGGATGCCCGGAGCACTGAGTATCGCTCAACAGAGACACTTAAATCTCAGGTGCTCACGAACTCACTAAGAGAATGTGGAGAGAGAACCAGTCAAGACTGTGTGGGCTCAGCTCTTAGGCAATTTTGCTCTCAATCGATCAAAGGTTGTAAGTACTATATTAATCTATTAACAGCACTTATTTGACCAACAGGTGGTTGGTTAAACAAACTATGCGTCCATAATAGAATAGTCTGCAGTCCTTAAAAATAAATAACATGGGCCCTGGCTGGTGTAGCTCAGTGGACTGAGTGCAGGCTGCGAACCAAAGGGTCGCAGGTTCGATTCCCAGTCAGGGCACATGCCTAGGTTGCAGGCCAGGTCCCCAGTGGGGGCCACACAGGAGGCAACCACACAGTGATGTTTCTCTCTCTCTTTTTCTCCCTCCCTTCCCCTCTCTAAAAATAAGTAAATAAAAATCTTTAAAATAAGTAAATAACATGGGAAAATGTTTATACTGCTGAGAAAAACACTACAAAAAATGTACACCTCACGTTGAAAAACATCACTCACAATTATAAAGATTAAAACATCAAAAAGTTAAGAGCAGTCCGTGAGTCTGTGTGTCTCTGGGAGGGCAGGACAGTAAACCTCTCCCTCCTTCCGCCTCCCTGTGTTTCCTTTGATCCCTATGTATTACTCTGGCATAAGAAAAAGTTTTAAAACTCTTGAGAAGAAAACATTTATGAAGCCACTGAGTGTGTATTTTCCTCTGGTCACATCGGGGACCAATCTCGTCTGCCCGTGTCACTCAAGGACCTGAACCGGGAAACGCCAAGCTGCGCAGACTCAGAAGCTCAGTCTGTCGCACGAGCAAGGCCCAGCACACTTCCAAAACCCGGACGCGGGGACGTGGACCAGGAGCAGACTCACCGGCCATCAGCAGACAGATGATGCACATCGAGAAGGCCACCACCATGATAATGGGCAACTGCAGAGAGAGCGGAGAGAGACCGCTGGTGAGGGTGCGGACCGGCGGCTGCAGCGCCCGCTGCGCGCGCCTTCCCTGAAAGAGTGGTGCCTCCACAGTCTAACACGCCAACAGCTTTTTCAAGAGGACGTCACTATTAGGGGCTCCATCGCGACCCCCCGAATCTCACACTGGCCACATGACCAGGTCTGAGAAGCAAGACTCGGCCGCAGACCGAGCATTAGGAGGAGGAGGCCGCGCAGGCGCACACAGGACACAGCCTCTCCTGCTCCGGCCGCTCTGCCCCCGAAGGGCCTGGGACAGGCTCCTGCAGAGGCCGGTGAACCAGGAGTCAGAGACGAGGAGGGGCAGCACGGCCACGAGGGCGCACCGAGGCTCCCCGCTCTTCGCCTTCCTGGGCTTGGCAGGCGCATTTTTTTTTTTAAATACAAATGGAAGGTTTGTGGCAACCCTGTGTCAAGCAAGTCTATTAGGGCCATTTTTCTTACAGGCTCAGATATGGTTGGCGTTTTCCAGCAGTGACGCGCTTTTTAATTGAGATATGTACGTTCACAGACCACAGTCTAGTGCACACTTTACGTGCACCACAAAACCAAGACACTCGTGCGGCTCCCTCCAATGCAACACCTGCTGAAACCGAACCTGCAGCATCTTCCAAGACTCGAGTTTGCCTCCAACGGCCCCTGACTGTGAGGGGGGTGGAGTCTTCCTGGAATAGGACACCTCCCACATTCCCTTTGCTGCATGTCTTCACATTAAAGGGATGTGTGACGGAAGGTGAAATCCGGAAGAACACAGATGCTCCTAAGTGCTCCCCCACCCTCCCAGACCTTCTCCGAGGGGGGCCTGAGTACGGACACTCCATTCAGAACTGTCTGAATCAAGGGGAAATGGCCCTGCCCGCGCCTTCAGATACAGCCCTTTTACAGCTTGAAAAACATAAAGGTTTCTTACAGCCAGGAACTTCAAATCCCTTGGAACACTTAAGGGACTATGAGAATCTAATTCATCCACTGAATAGTTCCCAAGAAATAAGTCTATGGCATCCTAGAACAGAAACAAAGAAGATTATTAACATCAAGTTAGCAGTGATGACGTCACTGGGGAACAGTGTCAGGGCTTGGCGGGCCACCTGATGACCGATGACGAGCATCGAGTCCAAACTCACCTGTCTAAAGCCATCAGAAAAGTTGTTCTTGTAATACCGCAGCAGCGAGTTCCAGCCATCCTTTAAAAGTCCCAGCTGAGTTCTCTTCCCGGTTCTGGTTGGAAGAGGTTAAGTTCTAAGTTATGTGCAGATTTCCATATTAAATTCTCATACTGCTTTATAGTGTGCAAAAAATGGCCAATGAGTACATGGTATGGAGAGAAGGGAGCTACAGATTTTAGCAATCAGCCCTGAAAGTGTGAAGGAGGCACCTCACGAAAGAAACCAGTAAGCAGGCCCAAGAAATGTGTTCCCTTTGTAAAATACAACCAAAGCAGGAACAGGGAGGAAAAACATGCCGTTTCAGGTGCCAAGAAAGGCAGGAAACAAGAAGAGAACCTGGACCTTCACCCAGCTCCAGGTGAAGTGGTTTGGAATAGCAGAAAGACTGAGGGGTCTTACTTGGCTCCCAGGAAACCCACGGGCAGAAAAAGGCCCAACCGCACCTGTAACAGTCCAAACCGTCCCCGCCTCTCACTGCCCTGTGCAGCCGAGGGAAGCAGCCTCAGAACCCCTGGGTGCTTTTGGGAGGCGCAGACCTCGGGCCCGGCCCCCACCCTGACCTGTTGAACCTGACTGGGGTGACCTGGGTGCACCGACAGCTGGGAGGAACTGGAAAGCCATGGTTCTCGGCCGTCTGTGCACCCGAATCGCCAGGGAGGGGAAGGGCCCACCCCCCGGCAATCCCGGCCCAGGGCTCCCCCCTGGCGGCCGCCCCAGGACAGCGAGCTGTCTGTCTGCTAGGCCATGCTGTTTCCGAAGCCAGCTTGCCTGGTAAAGTCGGTCTTCAAGGCACCGGTCCCTGCGTACTGTTTGGCACAAGCGTTTGCGTTGTCAGCCCAGGCTGTGAAAAGAAGTAACTAACAATCAGCTGACCACGAGGAAATGAGCATCAGAGCTCTAAGTCTAAACTATTCATTTTCAATAAAATACATTTTTTACAAAAGGGAAAATGGGACAACTGTAATAGCGTAATCAATAACATATAATACTAATTTATTTCAAAATCTGAGTGAGTTTGCCTCTGTTAAAGACACCTACCGTTTTTGTAAACCTTCTCAAATTCGTCTTGTTCCTCAATCTTCTGTCCCACATGCAGAACACCCAGTCTCTGAAAGAAGGACGACCCCCATGTTCACGTGCGGCAGATTCAGTGCCCAGGTTTCGCACAAAAAGGAGATAGCCCTCAGCTCCTTTCCCGGCTCCTGGCTGCCCCGGGGGGCCTCGCCAGTCGTAAAGGAGGTGCAAATAAACACAACCTCTAGGTACTACTTTGTATTATTAAAGTAGAAAAAAAGTTTCAAGTCAACACACGTAGTGCTGGCAAGAGGTCAGTGAAACAGAATCACTCACTGCTGGCTGATGTCGGCATAAACCAACAGGATGCTCTGGAAAATTATATATATATGTGTATAGACATGTTATAGACATGTATCTATACATCTATATAGACACACATTCCCTTTGACCCAGTAACTGAGCTTCTAGGAATTAGCCAGAAGGAAACACTCCAAGTTAAAAGTAACACACACAGACTCTACAGTGTTATGTATAAACAAAAAGTGCAGTGACCTGAAGGGCTCAGTGGACTGCAGTACAACCGAATGCGACGCCTGAAAACCGTGGCCCCACCCAGTGCCGGAGGACACAGTGCAGGGGGGCCGCCGTGGATGGCAAGACATGGAAACAAAATGAGTGGGGCTGGGGCAAGGGCAACGCGGATGACTGTGTCACTGGTTTCTAGGGACGAGGCTTCTTCAGTTTCTGGCTGTGTGTTTAAGGAGAGACCAAGAAGCCGCACCTGCAGCTGGGCCTGCAGCGAGCGCCGCGCCAGCAGGCTCTGGATCACGTTGGTCCGGTCCAGGCAGTCCATGCAGTTGCTGCGGAACACACCCTCCTGGGTCGCCACCACCTTGCCTGACGAGTCCACTAGAAAATAACTAAAACACATTTGTATAAACACTCTCATAAAAGTCAGTTACATCTGCTAGGGAGGTACTCTTGTAACACAGGTCTCGAACAGCAACATTGTTAAAACCAGTGAATTAAAAGGTCAGAGAGGAAATGCACGGTCCAGGTGTACTCGATTACCAGGTGTACTCGATTACCACGGACCAAAAACACAGCTGAGGAAAAGCAGACCCTGCGTCACAGGCCACCCCACCGGCCACAGGAAGCAGCAGAGGGGCGCACTCGACTAGAACTGCGTCACGACCCAGTGCAACACAGAGACGCCAGTGATACTATCCTTCCAAAGACTAGGAAGGCTAATGGCACAGATCTGCGATAGAATGTTTAGTGAAAAAAATAAAATAGTAGCAAATAACTTTGTTACGTAAAAAATTGTAAATGAGTGAAAGATAATTTATAAAAACACAGAAATACCCTGTTGTGGGTCATTTTTAAGGACTCAAAAAAATCATCAATTTCAAAGAACCTATGCACCATAATGTAAATAGCAGCACAATTTACAATAGCCAAGAGTTGGAAGCAACCTAGGTGCCCGTCAGTAAATGAATGGATCAAAAAATTATGGTACATATACACAATGGAATTCTATGCAGCGGAGAGAAAGAAGGAGCTCCTACCCTTTGCAACAACATGGATGGAACTGGAAAGCATTATGCTGAGTGAAATAGGCCAGGTGTTGAAAGACAAGTACCATATGATCCCACCTTTAACAGGAAGCTAAACAACAGAACAAGCAAGCAGAATAAAAACAAAAGACACTGAAATAGAGAACAAGTGGGCAGTGACCAGAGGGGAGAGGGGAGGGAATTTAAGGGGGAAAAGGGGAGGGATTTGGAGGAACAAGTATGAAGGTCACAAGGACAAGAACTAAGGGGGGTGGAAATGGGAGGGAGGTGGGGAGCACAGGGTGGGTTGGGCTGGGATGGGAGAAATAGACAGATAACTGTACTTGAAAAATAAGTAAATAAAGTTTTTTAAAAAATAAAAATTTAAAAAAAAAAAAAAGAAAGGACTTAAAAAAATATTTTTAGCTCTGGCCAGTGTGGCTCAGTTGGGCATCAGACCACAAACCAAAAAGCTGTGGGTTCCATTCCCGGTCAGGGCAGAAGCTTGGGTTGCAGGTTTGGTCTCAGGTCAGGGTGCCTTCAAAAGGCAACCAATCAACGTTTCTCCCTTCCTTCCCCTCTCTAAAAAATTTTTTTAAATCATGACGCCTCAACTTTTCAACAAAAGAAAACCCTAGAAATAACAGTGCAGACAAGCGCTGTCCACCCAGGGACCTGTGTCTGTAAGTCTGCGAGTAACGAAGCCACATGGTGGACAGACACGGACACGGGGAGACGGAGGGGGGGCAGCTCACCTCAGCTCGTCCTGCATCTCTGCTACCTGATCCAGCAGGATACTTAGTCGGTCCCACCTCATGTTCTTACATTCCTTGTGGAAGTCAAAGGCGATGTACCTACGGAAAGGAGAGATACTCAAAACCGACCAGGACTGAGTGTTCGTTCCCCTTCTCCCGGTAACACTTGCACCACCGACCCCTCTCACCCCAGCACACAAACAGGTGACCGGGGACAGCAGGGCCGCTTCTACTCCACCCGGTGTGCCACCGTGCACACGGCCACCTTCTCCTGCTCGTTACCCTGAAGGGAAAACTGCACAGGCAGCCGGCCCCACAGGTTCCTCTGGGGCTGTGGGCAGGGGTGGCCATGGTCCACCCAGTGCTGGCGTGTGGCGCTCAGGCACAGCGGTCGGGTGTGAAACAGAGGAGCCCACTCCACCCGAGTTCCTAGCACACGCCTCTCCTCTACCCCACGTGCAAAGGATCGGGTTCTATTTTGTTGTTTTCAAATTCATTAAAACGCCCCAACCAGTCACACTCGATCCGGTTGTCCGCTGTGCCCTAGGGGGCGCGAGAGGACCGGAGGCAGGACAGTCCCCCCACTCTGGTTAGTCACCAGCCACGCTGACAAAAGCCCCACTGTACCAACACCCACACGTCACACGCGCAGGGGCAGAGAGGAGTTTCTCACTGGCCAGTGTGTAATGGGTTCTCTGCAGTTCTCTGGATTTAGGGGCACACATCTCACTGTGAGGCCACACAGCAGTGAGGTGGCCGACCACGAGCTGGAGACGCCCCGGCAGGAGGGGAAAGTCAGCCGATCCCTGAGGGTCAAGGGAGGAAGAGAGGACCCTGCGTGTTCACTTCTGCCAAGTTCCCACGCAGGGGCCAGGCTGAGTCACAGAGGAGGAGGACTGCGGGGACAGGGCATCCCCACGGCGATGTCCAGAGGGGGCGTCTGCTCTCGTGACGCCCTTGGCTCCGAGGGGCTGCAGGGGCATCAACAACGTGGGACCCTGGGCAGGTCAAGAGGGGCTCCTAGCACCTCGATTATCGCAGGGGAGAAGTCCGAAACAAAGCCAGAAATGGGTATGAAAACAGAGGTCAGCCAACTGAGAGGCGTGACCTCGGGGAGACCTGGGCGTGGGGCGGCATTTCCATGCCAGCTCCAATGGAAGTGTCGGTGTGACGGTCTCTGTGGAGTGCTCTGACCCCGAATAAGCCTCTACACTTGTCGGAAGGCTCTCAGCAGGTCACCAGCACCTAAACGTAGTTGGACCCTTAGGCTCACAGCCTCCTACAATCACACCGACATCCTCTGAGAACGCGTTATACGGCTTTATTTCGATGGCAGTCAGTGGTTTAAATGCATCACCGCCCCCCTGAACCCAGCAGCCCAGCAGCGCTGCCCCTGCCACAGCCCCAGGAAGAACCCTCGAGACACGTCAGCGGCGCCCCCACCTGCCCCCCGGCTTCCCTGGCTCACGCGTCAGAGGCCCCAGCACAGGACTCCTCTCTCTGACCACTCACCAGTCCGTGGACTAAATCAACTTCATTTTCTCCAAGTAACACAGATTAAAAGACTAAAACGTGAGCCAGCAAACTAAAAACTGAAAGTGAACACCCACTAGATAGCTGGAAGGTGACAATAACCTACCATTTGATCTCACTTTCATCCCTGCCAGAATGCACATTATGAAGTAGAAGGAATAACATACATGGTCTCACTTGCTCCTCTGCCTGGTGGTCTTTAGTGCCCCTGGAAGGCAGTGCTCACCCCCGCAGCAGGGGCCCCCACGTGCCCTGGAGCACCAGAGCACGGCTCAGACTCGGACTCCTATCCCAGGTCCTCAAAGCCAGCTGCTGTTCCCAACTCAAGACCACCCGGGAGGCAAGCGCACCCACGGGGGAGAAGCCTTAACCAGGCGGGTGCACAGGAGCCAGCACCCAAACTTTTCCCAGAACAGACAAGCCCGACTGCAAACCCGGAGATTCCGGTTTCCAAGGCTGAGGTTCTGAGGGGCACTGGGGGCACGCGCCCCGGGGGGTCCTGCGGCACGTCTGGGAGCGGCCCCTCCCTGAGCCCCCCCGAGAGTGGGCAGGCTCCACTGTGGGAGAGGGTCTGATGAGTCTGCCAGAGCTTCCAGACGCAACAGATGAATTCTTCCCAAAGGTTCGCTGTGTCGCTCCTTTTTTGTGTATGTTTAAAATTCTCCACAAGTAACCTAGACCTATTTTTTTGGAAAGTGCCCCCCCCGCCGTCTGTTCCTACTTCCCACCGGAGCATGGCCCCATGCCTGCCGCGGGGCCTGCTGCAGCAGGTCCCAAAAGGGGGCCGCCTTGCCCCCCTCTCTCCACAGGGCAAGTGCTGCTGGCTTGGAACCCTGTCTAGTGAAGGGTGATTACGTCACTGGGAACAGTGCCAAGGTGCAGCCACCCGACGACCGAAGATGAGGCACCAAAGGCTGCACGGAGTCTGTGACCGTGCCTGGGGACGTGCCCGGTGGTGTCCAGGGGGCCAGAGGGAAGGGCTGCAGCTCACGGGGTGGGTGGGGCCCCAGGAAGCGATCGTGAGGACCTGCAACTCTGCCCCGATGACCAAGTGACGCCTCGCCTCAGGACGGGGGTTTTAATAGGGACTAAAGTTTTACAGACTTCAAGTTAAAACTCCACTGTTAAGGGGCTGTTATGCAACAGAAATTATGCCAGAGAAAATTGTAGGCCAAGAAAAACATACCTTGATCTGGCATTAACAAAAAAAGTTGAAGTGCATGTTGATGAAACACACACACGAGATCTGTGCACACGTGTGTGCGTGTGAGTGCACCGCTCACCCGCACAGCCCCCCAGCGCGTGTCAGCAGGTACCTGATCATTCCATTTCCCAAGGAAGACACCATGGTTGCAAATGCTTGTTCAAGGGGCTTCTCTGAACCCTTCTGGTTAACCTGTAAAAAATGACAATCACAAGAGCTTTACGTTTCTTTAATAAGGGAGTGGCGTCGGCAGAACGGAGGACCAGGGTGCTCCGAGCCCCTGCTCCTCCACAAAACCCCTGAAAAACAGGAGCCGTCTGACCCGAAGTTAGAGGAGCTCTGGAAAACAATCGAGGGCCTACGGCAACCCAGGAAATGTCCAATCGAGAAGAACCCGCCTGTGAAATCGCAGGACGGTTCGGGGGCGTTTTGACTTGCTCTTACCCAACTCCTTCCCGGTGCAGCGGAGTCTTTGTCTTAAGCAGTGGCAACTGGTGCTCAGTTCCCCTCCTCAAACCGGGGGAGCAGCCCGGACCCTACTGCACAGCGCGGTGCCTCATTTGCTCTGACCTAAAGGACGGGCTCACCTGCCTCTGTCTCGAGTAACTGAACAGGACAGGGGAAGTGATGGACGATGCTGGGAGAAGCTATGCAGGACCGCTGACCCCCAGATGCCTAGAAGAGATGCTGAGTACAGAGACATGAAACAGACCATCTGGCCTGCACAGGACCCTGCGGAGATGTTCTTTGGGAAATCGGGGCATTAAAGAGCAGCCATGTACAAGGGCAACTTCAGAAAGCCACCTGCAGACCAGGTAAGACGCAGGCTCGGAAAGTCCTGAGAATACCTTCAATCTTCACCTTAGGCTGAACCCTAGGCTCAGAGCAAGCCTCCCAACCTGCAGAGACTGGGAGCTGATGTTCTCTCTCTTTTTTCTTTGTCTGTTTCAATTCCTGATGTTCAAGGAAATCTCAGTCAAAACATTGGCTGAACATGAGCAAAGAACAGGCTCCGGTGAGTGCACGTGGCCAGAAACAATCTCAGCAAAAACAGCCTGGAGTCTCGGAATGAGCAGCGTGCCGGAGCTTCCAGCAAGTAAAACACCACACACCACACACACACATACACATACACCCCACCCCACCCCCAACCCGTGGGTGCAGAGTTAGCCAGCGCCCCACTTTCAGCCACAACAAAGAAATTGGAGGGCGCACAATGAGACAAGGAAACAAGGCATAGTCAGTGACCGAGGGCACTCTTGCAGAAACCTCGTTAGGAAAAGGCTCTAGAAGGAACAGTCTCCCCCCACCCCACTCCTTCTCCACACGTGCGTGTTCCCTGCTGCTCTCTCTCCTGCCATCCAAGGGCCCTTCTGCCTTTGTAACTTGTTTGCTGGTCCCCTGCCCAACTGGCTCACTTTTCCTATCTCTATAACCTTTTAAATAAACTTTCTCTCATTGTTTGCAAAAAATATGCTCAGAGCTGTAATAAAAGATGGACAAAAAAATTAAAGAGAATCAGGAAAATGGTGTAGGAACAAAACAAGAATCTGAACAAAGAAACAAATTGTTGAAGGGAACCAAACGCTAAGTCTGGGGCTGAAAAGTACAGAATGGAAGTTCAAGTTCATGAAGAGTCCAAAAGCAAAACGAATCAGCAAACCTGAAGACGGGACAAGTGAACTGATCGGGTGTGAAGGGCAGAAAGGAGAGAGAATGAAGCAAAGCGAGCGGAGGCGCAGGGGGCTTCTCGCACGCCATCGCACGGACGGCGAGCTCACCATGGGGACCCCGGAAAGAGCGGCAAGAGAAGGGGGTACAGAGATCACCGCATTTTTCGGACCATAAGACGCACCTAGGTTTTAGGGAAAAACAGGAAAAAAATTTTGAGGCAAAAAAAGTGGTAAAATATTTAATAACACAAATAACATAATATTTCACCAATGTAAATGTAAAAAACTCAACAGCAGCATTAAAACCATTATTCCTCCCGAACTGGGGTTGGGGTGCGTCTCACAGTCTGAAAAATAAGGTATGTAATGAAAAAGCGGCCCCAAACCTCCCACATTTGATGAAAAATACATCTTCAAACTCAAGAGGTTGACCAACTGTAAGTGTACTAAAACCCAAAGAACCCACAGCAAACACGTTGTAATTAAAGTCTGAAATGCAGAGGGGATACTGAACTCACAAGAGAAGTGACTCATCACACACAGTAAATTCTCAACAGGATTACGTGACAGTTTCTCTGCAGAAACCTCAGGCAGTGCGGTGATAGGTGTAAAGTGCTAGAAGAACAGACCTGTCTGAAGACAACAGATGAACGAACAAGACAGACAAAAATTTACGACTCGGACAGCAGCGTGCTGGTTCCTGGAAGGAAAGCGGAACAGGCGGAGGTGGGAAAGGAGGTCCCATGTACGGTGAAGGAAGGAGATCTGACTTTGGGTGAACACAACAGAACTGAACATCACCCCAGGAAATTCAATAAAAAATTAAAAAGCGAAACAAAACACAAAAAGAACTGTCAAGCAAAAATTCTCTATTTTGCAAAATGGTCTTTCAGACCCGAGAGAACAATTAAGATAGCCGAGACAAATGAGCTGTGGGCGTTCACAATCCCTAGACCTGCCCTACAGGAAATGCTGTGGCCAGGCCTTCGGGAGGAAATGAAAGGATGCTGCGAAGTATCTCCGAAGACACAGACCAATGGCCGACAAACACGGGAAAAGACGCTCAGCGTCGCCAGGCGTCAGAGATGCACTTCAAAACCGCAAAGGCCCAGCACCTCACACCCACAAGGACGACCATAATAAAAACCAAAATACAGAAAATGACAGTGCTGGCAAGGATGTGGAGAAACTGGAGCCCTGGTGCACCGTCGGAAGGAATGCAAAGTTGTACTCTGCGCACTCAAACCTGTAGCTACAGTGTGGGTGCTCCTTAAAAAGCTACACACAGAAATTCCCGAAGGGTCGGCAACCCCACTCCTGGGTACTACAGCTGATGAAGAACTGGACGCGGGGACTCAAACGGACATGTGCCCCCAGCATCCTTTACAGTAATGGCAACGTGGAAACGATGCCCACTGACAACCAGTGGGAAACAAACCGCGGCACGCACAAACCGCGGGGGCCGAGCCTCAGAGAGGAACGGGATTTGGATACACGCCGCGACAGGAATGGACGCAGACAGAATGAACGGGCAGGAAGGATCAGACAGCGCACAGGCGGATTTATACAGGAGGTGGAACAGAGTTAGTCGGGGCTCGGGGAGCGGGATGGTAAGAAGTTTAATGAATTACTGAGCTTCGGTATGATGAGGAGTTAGAAGTGGTCAGTACGACACCATTTCTGGTTGCACAATGTATTTTTTAAAGATTTTACTTATTTTTTAGAGAAAGGGGAAGGGAGGAAGAAAGAGGTAGAGAGGTACATCAATGTACAAGAGAAACATTAATCAGTTGCTGCCCTCCACCCCCCACCCCGGACCTGGCCGGTAACCCAGGCAACATGCCCTGACTGGGAATCGAACCGATGACCTTTCAGTTCACAGGCCAGTACTCAACCCAGTGAGCCGCAGCAGCCAAGGCTGCAGGAAATTCTTAATGCCATTAACTGCACACTTAAAATGGTTAAAGTTATAGAATTTATGTTAAAAACGTCATTTTTCTTGGTTTGTTTTGCTCCCCCAGAAACAGTAAGAAACATACCAGGTTGATTATGACTTGTTTCCCATAAATAATTAATTGCGAATCAAAATGCCTTTGGAAACCATCCATCTAGAGAGGAAAAAAGAGTTACACACTTTATCAGAATACACTGTGAGAATATTCATGAGACCTTTCAAAGTATCTTCTTAACTGTCCTCGCTACAGAAACCCGTGCTCGTCCAGACAGTCCGAGCGCCGCGCACTAATGGCGGTGACGGGCCACGCGACTCCGTTGTGGCCCGGCTGCAGTGGGAGCACCACCTCGCACAGACCACACTGAGCACTCGGACGCCTCGTGGTTGCAGATCTCCCCGAAATCTGCAAAGTCCCAACGTGGGGCACCGTTCAACCGTGGCGTGGTTTTCCCATTCCTAACACGCCCCCTCCCTATACAACCATCTGGACCAGAAGGCGTCCCTGGGCCACACATCAAATACACAATGACGCGTAACCACAAAAACATCTCATAGTGTTTCAGGCAAACCTGCGACTTGGTGCTGGGCAAAGTCCACAGCCACCCAGGGGCACGCGGCCCAGGGCCGCAGGCTGGACACCCCTGAGGGGCTCACTAAGTGCCAGAACCAAGGAGAAAGGCCTCAAAGGTGAGGAATTCTGACTTGCGGGGAATAAATACATGCTCTATACGTATATGCCAACTAGCTTCTATTTTTGGCCAATAAGGAAAACCGGGAAGATACACACATGATTGGCTACTTTGTTGATCTGTGGCTGTGGTTTGTACTTGAGGTTTGGTCTCTGGGACCAGAAAACTGGTATGGATCCTCGGGTCTGAAAGAAAAGAGAGCAACGTGAACGGAAACACACATGCAGACTTGTCCTTCTCGGCCGTCACAGGCAGACACACGCCAACGACGGCCAAGGAGAAGCAAACACGGCCTTCCAGCTGAAGGCAGTGCGTGCGCACCTGCTCCTCCAGTCCCTATTTGGGGAAATGCTTTTGGAAAGGAACTTTTCTCCTCCTGATTTTATTAACACGACACCAGTACACCGTTCAGTGTTTCCCCTAAATTCTAAAATAAACCAAGTTACCTGAGTCAAAACTAACAAGTTACGCCTGTTATCCGATTTGGCGTTATAAAAATAAAACTGGAAGATGGCTGTGCTCATTCCCACGTGAATCTCCTATGTTCGGCCACCAAAGCTGCCGAGGAGCCAGTGACCCACAAGTCCTTGAGGCGGCAACGAGAGGGGGGAGGCTGCCTCGGAATCAGGGGCGAGGCAGAGGGTCCGCCGTCCTGTCAGCACCGCCCAGAGTCGGTCTGAAGGGCCGAGCTGAGGGAGGCCCCACCGCCCCTGCCCCTCCCACCCTGCGCTCGTCTTCAGGGGTTTCACTGAAGGGCAGGAAACGCCAGCCGGTGAGGGGCCAGATTAACGGGCTGCCTCTGCTTTGGGTGGGCTTTTCCCACATCGCAGACACAGATGAGACTTCAGGGAGGAGGGGAGGAGCGAGAAGTTTCAGAGCCGCGACAAAATGCTGCGGCCCAAGCAGAAGAGCCTGGCCGGCCGCCCCCCCCCGCCCGGGGCCACCTGCCTGGACGAACGAGGCTTTGCTTCCGCCGTAGTGCACGATCTGTTCCGTTTCCACAAAGTTAGCCGCGTGGCCCTCAGAATCAATCCCTCAAGTGAAAAAAAGCTCAATTAACTGTCTTCATCACATAAGAAACACATCAGAAAATTCAATTTAACTCAGAGAGAATTAAGTCAGTTCAAGTCAGTGGAAAAGCACTTACAAAAATACGCTTTAAACAATACACGATGCAGATCAGAAAGCTACGAGATGCTCGTGCAGTGTAAACAGGCTTAAAGGGTGGTATTAAGAGCCTATTAATAAATAAAGCTGGTTGTTGTTTAATGCACCCATTGTTTATACAGACACACTCCTATAATTCCCCCAAAACAGTGTTTCTCACATGTGAGACGTATTTTACAGAAAACACATTCTCAAGACTCTTGGGAGTATGTTCATAAATCCCAGTTTAAAAAAGTACTACTGTAATATTTTGAAAGTTACAACCATTAAACACAGCACCTAATGCAAACGTGGGCCATTCCGTTAACACTGTTTCATCACGATAAGCAAAATGGTCCAGCAGAGGCTCGTGACGGTCGTAATGACGTGAGCCCCGCGAACAGGAGCCCCGAGCCCGCCGCAGAAGCGCCGCTCTGAGGTCCTGGTCCTGCTCCCAGGAAGCCCTCCCAGCACCCGGCGCTCCTCCACGGTCTGGCCCCCATAACCTGTTCTCGCTGAGAAAGCTGGCTGCGCCCAGGTTAACTTTGAGTGAGTCCCTGACTCAAATCACCAAATTACCAGGAAGAAATCAGTGGATTTTTAACCGTCTGAAATATTTAACGTTATTTCTATCTGACATATTTCACAAACAAAACATTTTGAGATGTGAGGCACCAGGGTTTTTGTTGATGTGTTAACAGCAGGAGACAGGATTATTGAGTCAAATCAGTAATTGAGCACCTTCTTGGTACCTCTCAAGTTACTTGTCAGAAGCACAGACCATATACTTGGTCCTTCCCACGGTTCCGTATTTCCACTACACAATAGCATGTAGTTATTTTCAAAAGCCAGATGGAGATGGGGCGGGGGCAGAGAGAGACAGACCTCTATGAAAAGGTTTTCACAGTAAGTTGAAGACCACCAAGGTGCGAGAAATGTGCACAGCACACAAGCACTGTCTACGAGGGCGGAGAGGTCCCACCGTGGAGCACAGAACTACCTGGAAGGGTAAACGGAAGCTAACACCTGACTGGCTGGTGGGGGAAAGATTCAGCAGATGGGGCCGGAACAAGAAGTATTTTTCATTGCATTTCTTTTTATACTTTTTGATAGCTGAACTATATGAATGTATGACCTATCAAAAATTTTTATTAAGAATTATGTCTCCAGCCCTGGCTGGGAGGCTCAGTTGGTTAGAGCATCATCCCACACACCGCAAGTTCGATCACCGGCCAGGGCACACGCCTAGGCTGCGGGCTGCATCTCCAGAGGCAACCAGTCGATGCTGCTCTCTCACGGCCATGTCCCTGTCTGTCTGTCTGTCTCTCTCTCCCTCTCCTGTCAGTGAACATATCCTCGGGTGAGCATCAAGAAAACCTTATGTCTCCATCCAGGAAAACCTAGTTACAGGGGAGCTGCTAATGCTACCTCTGGTCTGCAACCTCGGCCAGGTCACTCACTCAATGTCCCTCTTCCTCTGCTCTATCGCCTACAATAAGGGAGATTAACCAAGTAATTTCCTGACCCAAAACTCCTACAATTTATCCAACGGCCCACAGGATTTTATCCCAATAGTTTGGCAAAAAAAAAAAAAAAAGGGTGAGAAACTCCTTTTCATGACAGTAACTTTTAACACAGATTTTAAAAGGTTGGTTTAAGTAACTTAGCATTTGCCAGTACAAAACCTAGAGCGCAAATGCTCAAAATGGAAATCTTCAAAGCTGAGGTCCTGAAGTCAAACGTCTGGCTTCCTGCACGCGAGGCAGCAGCCAGGAACGAGAGAGACGGACACTTTCCGGCAGGAGCCGCGGCTCCTGGAAGCGGCGCCGAGCGCAGCCCACAGCAGAGGACAGTGTCCCTTGGCACCGCAGCGTGGCTGCGGCGGCTGGAGAAAGGCACAGGAGACCTAGCTAACTACTGCAGTGCAGCAGGAGGCAAGTGTTTACTGAGGCCATCAGATGGTCATGCAAACAAATAAAACACGAGGTTACAGTCCTGTCACCGTAAAACAGGACGCTAATCAGAGCTAACGTAACCCGCTATGGCTTCGAGCCGACCAAATGAGTCCTACCTCGGACGTAGTAGCGCACGCCGGCTCTGAAACAGCTCCTCCTCGAGATGAGAATCCAATCAAAGTATTTGCCATTAATAGAACACGAGTGCATAGTAATAACTTGCCTACATTAAGGAAAATGTAACGCACAGAGAAATCCCACGTATTACTTCCAGGCGGAAGGACTCTGACAAGCTGTACATGGGGCACGAGAGAGGGGAGCTCAGGGCGGCCAAATCCGCTGGGCATCCACAGAAATCTCAGGCGTCCTGGGTCGAAACAGAACCCTGAAGACTCTGCAGCCTGCCTCCCACCTCTAGGCTCCTCCCCACCTTGGTGGGTGGCTTCCTTCCACTCACTCTGGTTGAAAATTTAGATTCGTAGTGAACTTCTCTCTTTTATACCCCATGTACAATTTGTCGGAAAATCCTGTGAGCTCCACCTGCAAAATACACCTGGAACCTGACCACCTGGACCACTGCACTGCCTCCTGATTCTGCTGTGTGCCCCCCTCGCTCTCCTCTGGCCTCTCCTCTCGCATCGCTGTCACCCAGTGGCCCCGACTCCTCACGCCAGTCCTCTACTGAGATCCCAGCACTTTCTCATCGCAGCTGGAGGGAGACGCGGCCTTCTCGGCCCGGCAAGGTCTGGGCCCAGACGCCACACTGCTCCGGCTCCAGCCCCTCGCTCCCTGCCAGCTCCCTCTGCTCCAGGTACGTGCCTGCCCCGGGGCCTTGTCCTTGCTGATCTCTGTGTATTGGAAACATGTGGCTGTACCTCTAATCAAGAAACTACATAAACAAAAACTAATTTAGAGTTTTAGATTAAGCCAAATGGATAAACTATTCTAAAATTGCCTACAAAAAAGCGTTCTGTAGATCTGACTTGATAGTATTTGTCCATTCACAATCTCCTTTGAGGGAAAGAACAATAATTGGCCCCAAACCCTTTGAGCACTAAACACACCCGCTCTTCTTTCACCCCGAGGAGAACCTGGAAAGCCCCAGGGAGGAGAAAACAACCAACCAAACCCCACGCCGCTGTGTTAAGAAGCTTCTTCCTGGGGTGTGTGGGAGGAGGACCCCGGCTTCCGCAGGCACAGCCCCGACCCCGAGCTCCCCAGCGCCCTGTGCCTCTCCCTCCAGGCCAGCTCTCGGACTCCCTATTTTATTATGATGTCTACGACAAAGGTAAGTTTTTAAAGCAAACTTCCAATGACACAGTCATTACTCATTTTGCATTTGTCCCGATCTCCCCCCTCCCCAAGCTTTTATCTACTTTTACTTTCCTGTGACTATTTCAGATGATAAGTATGATCTGTAACTGACTCTCCTCTCCAAGCTGCAGATCACCCTAGTACCTGAGTCTAAATTTCCAAGGACAGCAAGGTTTAAACTACTTTTGTTTATTGATACAAAGTCTAACAAAGGCAAAACACAGTATCCCTGTTCCTTTTTTTTAAACCACCAGCCCCGAACTCTTTAACGGAGAGAATAATTTAGTCTAGGGCATATTCTTAAAAAAAAGGGTCATTTACAACCACTATTCTAAGATTTTTATGTTAATGGGTTTTTATATGGTGTTCACAAGCAATTTCTACTAATCCTACAATACTCCTCTCATGCGATATTTGAGGCTGTCTCCACCTCTGCCTTACAACAGCCCTCCACTACAGACCGCCAGAACCCTGGAGAGCAGCCTCACGCAAGGATACAGCCGTGCAGCACCGGAAGAGCAAACCGATGGACCTGAAATGAAGACACACGTTACGCTTAGGAGTAAATATGCTTTAAAAGCAAATAGAAAGCACCCCATAAAATATATTTACACGTGAGGAAGTAATATACAAATACAACAAGGTAGTAAGCTTATGGGTAACTGAATTCTACAGGAAGCTCTGCAGTGAACTAAGCCTCCCGAGTAAAGACTCGAAGGACGTGCTGCGGCCGCCTGCACTGGCCCAGCCACGGGTGTCGGACACTGACGAAACCGCTGCAGCTGCAGAAAGCTCGCCTCCCTCCCGGGCTTTGTCTCCAACAGCTTCACTCCTCTGGGGAAAAGATACGCCCATGCTAACTGGTCACAGCTCAGACCACTTTGGCAAAAAAAGCAAAGCAAATGATAAGAAATAAAGCCACCAGGCAACTCTAGTCACCCAGATTCTGGACATGCACTTCCTAGCCGGGCCTCGTGTTTGTGCCTCATTCTGTAAACTGAGGATGGAGGAAGGCGACACCCAGGCCAGTCTCCGGGGAGGAGGGAGGGAATCCCTGTCCCACAGGAAGACAAAGGCCCAGCTCTGCACCTGCCTGGGGACTTGGTTCTGGCCCGCATTTCTCCATCCCCCAAGGCCCAGTCTCTCTTACTTGTAAAGCACACGGTGTTCTTACTCAAGTATCTGTGTTCTTACTCAAGTATCTTTTCTTTCCTTAAGGCTTCTAAGGAGATAAGAGCAGAATGGCTATTCTCCCTGTAGAATGATGTGAGAGGGAGCCCTGATCTCAGTTTGTAGGTCATCAACACAGGTTAGCTTCACCAAACCTCTGGTGATTAGGTAGCCATTTTATAGTACGTGTTCAATTATAACTTAGGCTGTAACAAATCAGCAGGTTTTATTTAGTGTACATTACCTCTGGCTGAGCAGAAAGTTCTCTCAGAAGATGACAATTCCATACAAACCGCTGATCTGCCTAAGAGAGAAGTTTTAGAGTGAAAAAATAGCTCCTGCCGGGTGAGTCTCTATGGAAAGAAAATGACGGCAATGTTTCCACCTTGTAGCTAGAAATAGGTCTCTTGACAGGCTCCCACCAGAACCCCTCTTTCCCTCACATCAGCCCCCTCCCCACCTTGGGGTTTTCCTGCCGCACTGCCTCAAGGCAGCGCTGCTGGCCCAGAAATCGGGTGTCCTCTCGGGGTCTTTCTTACTCATGTGCTCACTCAGTCCACGGGCAAGTCCTAAGTCTTGCAATTCCGCCCTCTTTTCTGCAGACCTAGTCCCGCGACCCTTGGCCAGCTCGAGGCTCCAGCCTGCGCACTGACGACATCGTCCTGGCCTCGCCCCTCCCACCCCTTCCTCTACTGGCTGCCAGTCAGAGTTCCCTGAGGTGACAGGCCTCCTGTCTGCTGGAATCCTCCCCCGGTTCTCCATCGCCTGAAGAACCCAATCTCCGTGTGGCCGAAGCAGCCCTGGGGCCGGCAGCCCCCACTGAACTCTCAGATCTCATCTCTGGCCATCCTGACGCTCCAACTATAAACACAGAGGAAGCTCCTTCCACAGCCATGTCTCTCCATTTTCTTTATATAAAACACACCCCCTGGACAGCACCCCACCCTCCCACCCCATCTGAGAGGCCCAGAGAGCGGCACTTGCTCTCGGCCATAACCAGGGGGACAGGACGCTCCCCAGATTCACATGCGTGTTCCGGGCCAGCCGTACTGGTCACTCAGCATTACATCACATAACTCAACAGTTTATGCATCGATGAAATGGGGCTTAAAAACAAACTGCTGTTTATGCGAAGCTAAATGAGTTAGAATTTAAACCTGATAAAAGGCAAGTTGCTACAACAAAGCTGCAGTTGAATTAGAAGAGGAAGTGGCAACTACAAAGGGTTGGAGAGACACAGTGAAAATCTGTGGGTTCCGCACACACACTGCTCCGTGTCGAAATACTTAAAGAGACTCAAACTGGGAAGCGCGATGGATATAATCTATCTAGAAAAGACAGCCAGAAATCAAGGGACCAAAGACGCAGAAAAGCCTCTGGTCCTACTTCAAGAAACCGGCCAGTCAATACAAATTTGAAGTGCGGATAAAATGTTTAAGGCATATGTGGTGCATTCGTCACCTTTAGGGTTCCCTATTTTAATTCTTACTTTTTTGATTCACTGACAAAACATTCCTTTCCCATCCCCACAAATGTAATGGCTTCTTTTTCAGTTTAGCCTAATACTGTCACCATCTCCGCCTGGAAACCCACCCTCTTCCATTCTCACCTGACCACTAAGGCCTATTCATCATTAAATCTCAGCTCAAAAGTGATCTTGCCGTGGCTTTGAGGATTGAGTACTGGCCTGTTCAATTTGGCCTGTTTGGTTCAGCCGGGCACATGCCTGGGTTGCGGACCAGGTTCCCCAGCAGGAGGCGCACGAGAGGCAACCACACATTGATGCTTCTCTCCCTCTCTTTCTCCCTCCCTTCCCCTCTCTCTACAAATAAATTTTAAAATCTTTTAAAAAACAAAATGATCTCTATAGAGTTGTCCCCGACTACCTGAGGTAGAGTGACACCCGCCTTCCTGTGGGGCCCCTCTACACCTGGGTGCCAATCCCCGTGACAGCAAGTGTCCCTTGTTTTGTGACTGCCTGGACCCCCTTGTCCCCGGGAGATGGCAGGCTCCCACAAGGCAAGGGCCATGTCATTTCTGTGTCCCTACTGGCTGGCCCAAACAGTGCCTGGTGTACAGTAGGCATCCAAGAGACGTTTGGTAAACACATGGGCAATGAAGCAACTGCTTTAAAAAGCAATGGTGTCTTTAGCTACGAGCCCAATTTCTTGACTGCTCAGCTTACATCTGAATTTACAGCTAAATCTACATAAATGTTACCAGATTACAGTATGAAATCATCATAAAGCCAATCAACTAAAACACTGATTTAGGTTGAACTGTATGAAATTATCATTTTTATTGGGCAAAACTCATTAATTACTGGCAATATCATATGGTCCAATCCAACATGGAACTGACAGCGACCCTTTCAATTCTGTCTGCCCCACAGACACACCTAAGGTTGTTCATCAAAACAACTGCAGCAGCGACCGTCCAGGCTCCTGAATAGTGAGAATGTGAAGTTGAGATCTGAGGCCCAGTTTTAAAGATACACTCATCTTAAAAAAAAAAAAAAAAAAAGGCAAAATAACTAAAACCCCCACCTTAAACAAAAAGACTGTTTTCAAGTTCTTAAGTCAGTAAGTTTTTACTTTTCTAGATGCAAAAACTATGACACCACTGCAAAAAGACATTACTTTTAGCAGCAGAATTATGTTACTGATGCTCCTAACACCCGTCAGACTACAGAACACCCAGGGCGCGGAAATCACCAACACGTGTGTGACGGCCTGACTTCCGACGACCTGCGTCACGGACCCTGACTCTGGGACATCCAGCCAGGGCTGAGAAAAAGCAGTATGTATCTTAATGAATGAAACAGAGACATGCCTCTTTCAAAAACCCAAAGTAAAAATAACTGACTATTTAGCTTACCCTTTCCAAGAGACTCATTTCTTGAAATTCTGGACTAGTGTTTGACAGCCGCTGCAAAGTATGGGTCAAATCATACGTGGTTGAGAAGTAAAACCCATCCACATTCAAGACGTGGGTTATCATTGCTAGGAAGGTTTTATTATCTTGTAACTGTAAACAAAAAGGATAAAAAAATCAGCCTGCCTCATCCGTGAGAAGGACTCTGTCGGCATGAAGAACTAACGACAGTAAAAACCCCTAAGTCTGGCCCTATCAAATACCACCGGCGCACGGACAGCGCTCAGCAGTGTGTGGGATGATTGTTAATCAATCAGGCAGAACTCCATCCCTCTGGTTTCCTTCACCGTGTTTACTCTAATGGGCAGAAGGGTTATTTTAATGAAATATCACCAACATAAGTGATGACCTACTGTGTGCCAGACCCTTTACACAGATCTTCTTTCACCTTCCAAAACAAACCTGCTAGGTTAGTAATTATCCTCACCTGACAGATGGAAAGCACACATTCTCAAGGGGCTCAGGAACACAAAGAGTAGGTAACAAAAGAATAATTCCATCCACATTCTTAAGAAATTTTACTAGGCCCTGGCCAGCTAGCTTGGTTGGCTGGAATGTCATCCCGATAGGCCAAGACTACGGGTTCGATCCCCAGTCAGGGCACGTACAAGAAGCCAGTGAATGCATAGATGGGTAGAACAACAAACGATGCTTCCCTCTCCCTTTCTCTCTCTAAAATGAATAAATACAATTTAAAAACAAACACCCTGGCTGGGGAGAATGGTAAGTAAAACAGAATTCTTTCTAAAGAAAATCAGGAAGTCCCATAAAAGTAACACATGTCTTATTTTCGGATCACCATCCCAGCGGCTTGCCCGGTGAGTGCCCAGACCGACACGCGCCTTCGTCTCTGCTTTAAAGAACAACTGCTGGCGTCAGGTGCCAGCAAAGGCAGCCGCTTCACTAAGGCCTCCGGCCTCGGCGCTCAGTCTCGTGGACAGTGACAATGGCGGTGTCCCCACGGCAGCAGTTCTCCTACACCTCCCCTATGTCCCGTCTGAACTCCCCTTCCGGGGCTGCCCCCTTTCATCCGCACTTCCCTCGTTGCCGGGATGGCTGCAACGCTGGGGACAGCCGTTACTAAACCGCGCTGGCGGGAATCTGCCCTCACGGGGGGCCGGGGAGTGGGGGGCTGTCTGAACACAGACACTGCGCTCACATCACTGGGGGACAATGAAATAGGGAAAAAGGGAATGAAATAGGGTGAGCGGAACTTCAAAGGTACTTAACATTTTACTTCTTTACAAAAAGGATATGAAGTTAAATCCAGGTATTGAGAACATACAGGTATTTTGTTTATTCTTTTCTTTCCGTATGAAATTTCATAATTTTAGAACGAGGTTTTTTTTTTTTTTAAAGACAGAGCAAGAGAAAGAAAATATAAAGAATTTTTAAAACGCATTTGACGCCTGGGTGTAAAGGTCTGTAAAATGACATTGCTCTATGGTTGCTTAAATAATTAGGTTTAAAACCCACCAAACGCTCCTTGTATTCCACCCCCGCGGCACTGCTTTGGGTTCTGCAGTTAGCAACGGCTTCCATTTCTTACCTGAATATCAGTTAAGTGCAACATTGTCTTCTTATAAGAAAGAATATCAAAATCTGTTGCTTTCCAGATTACATGATTGAAAAATTCACCTATTTTAATCTTTTTGGTAATGACAATTAGATAATTTCCTACAAAAAAGCAAAGCAAAACTCAGATAAACATGAATAAGGCAACTCTAATGACAAAGTGGCAGTCCTTGCTGTTTAAACTCTAAAGGTAAGACTGTATCGTGCTGTATAATAAAAGGCCTGTGGTTTAAAATGTATGAATAGAAAGGCCAGTATATTATTTCTAGAAATTCCTATTGAAAGTTTACATGTTTTTCCACAAAGATAAAGCAAAAGCTTTTCACAGCTAAGACAGTCATCTTAGTAGATCAAAAGCAGGACAAAGACGCCTCGTTCTCTCCCGCCCACGTCACCCCCATGGCAGACAGGCTTCTGCTACATTTCCTAGTGCGTAGCTTAACACACCACAGGTCGTGAGCTCTGACCACCGCAGGACGACGGCCCGCGTGCACTACTCCTATGTCCTCCCTGGCATTCTATGGACACAGTGGCAGAGAAATGTGCTGGGGCAGCAGTGCAACCAAGTGGCTAATGCCGCATCACAGGTGGTCCTCAGCTTGTGATGGTCTGACTGAGGATTCTTCTACTTTACGGCGGCACCAAAGCGACACACATTCAGGAGCAATTGCACTTTGAACTTTTCGGGGCTGGTCACAGGCGGCAGGATGCCCTCCTGTGATGCCAGACGGCGCCACAGGCCGCAGCTCCCAGCCTGGCGGGCGAGCACGGGGGTGACTGATAGAGTCTGCAGCGCGTTCACGTGTCGGAGGTTCTGCACCGCCGGGGGCTGAAGTGTGTGTCTGAGCACGTGGGAGGTGGGCGGGGCTCAGCTGCGGTGCTCGGTAGGTTGGGTGTGTTACATGCATTTTCGACTTGACATTTTTAGCTTACAACAGGATTACTGGGTGGTGACCCCATCCTAAGTCTGGGGCATCTGCACAAAGAGGAGCCTGCTCGGCGCCACGCACGCACCAACCCTGACTCTGGCCGTCTCCCTGACCACCCCCCACAAATAAAACACGGAAAGCCTTTCCCACTAATTAATTCTCAAGCTCTGCTGAGCGAGGCCCTCCCACCAGTGCCCTCCTGGAAGTTTTCCCAGGTGTCTCTCTCCTAGAACTCGTCACACGGTACTGCAGTAGTTTACTACTAAATGCCTCTCCCTGACTGTGAACTGTGGACAAATGGGACTTGCCTCCTTTATAACGCAGCATCTAGTACAGTGCATGATACAACACGAGTTTTTTTAGGTTCGATGAAATGAAATTTAGATAAAAAAAATCATTTTCCTAGTAACTCAGAACTACATAATATTCTCTAACACGCACTATGTCTTACTCAACTCAGATGGAATTGAGGGTAGAATACTCTGGTCCTTAAATGTATTAAAATTTTGATTTAAATATCTTAGAATTTATGAAAAATGTTTAGTTGACTAGGGATTTCAACTCTAGTTGAAATAAAATCAGAGACATACTTCTTTTTTAATAAAATCTCAGGCTGAAAAATTTAACCATTTGTGTCTTACTTTTAGAAATTAATGGCAAATACCTAGCCCACAGTTTCTTGCGTAAGGCATGGCACGAGAAGCACACGTTCATTCCCCACGCTAACTGAGTCAATTTAACTACCTCCCTTGCCCCTCCAAGCCCATCGGTACCTTACCTGCCACCAGGTGGATTGTGCCCAGGATTCCAAATATCGGCCTCGTAACCGCGGACGGAGGAATATCTTTCTTGACTTTAAAAGAAAGACAAAATCACAGAACACAGTCACCAGCAGAACGGGAAATGTAGTTTGATTTCAACAGTTAAATGAAGCCAACATGGATGGCTTGTTCTCAGAGAGCAACCTTCCTACGTGCTGGCAGAATCTGAAATAAAGGTGCCCACACTGTACACAAAGGTCTCTGCCTGCCCAGAATATGGCGTCAGAAGTAACATCCTTCAGCATTCTCATCGGGTAAATTGTGGGTAATTTCTAATGTTGATGTTCAACTAAACTGAGTCAACAACCTCTTGCCACAAAGTAAGGCTTTATCCCTTCAAGAGAATTAGAAAGTAAGCGAAAAAACAAAAACAAAAACATGAATAATAAAATAATATTAAAAAGAAAGTAAATGGAAGGAGGGCTGGACACGACTGTAATTCCGACCCACAGCCGACAGAGCGCCAACAGGACTGGCCTGCCCACCGGAGGGGGGGAGCCTCCGCGGGTCGGACAGTGACTCACACAGAAACGCCAGGAGGCCCCGCCACGAGCTGGGGCTGCACCAGTCACGCCCTTATGAATGAATTACCGGTAATCTAGTAATCTCATATTACAGGGTTCTTTTTGTAACCGTTCAAACTTTCAGCCAACCTGTTTCACAGAACACATTTGTAGAACCCTGGTTTTGGGAATAACGCCCATCAAACAAGCTTCATCTGCCCACCTGCATCACCGCTATTCCCTGGCCCAGGGACGGTCAGAATGCACAGTCGGAGAGTAAAGGCTCCGGGGCCCAAAGGAAAACCAAGCTGTCCCCCTGTTAACTCACGGTTTCCCAAACTCACGTGGCCCTACGTTTTTTCTTTCAGCCACAGCTGAATCATCGTCTTGGAACCCATTTTGAAACACTGCAGTAAACCCAAGTTCTTTTTCTTAAAGGCAGTCCTATTATTCTGAGGAAGGTAATTCTGAACAAGGTCTAAAACTCGCTTCTGTTCCACTCAGTAATTCAATTTACCTAGCAACGCTCCGCCACAACTAACTGACACAGAAAATGAGAAAAACCACGGAAAACCACCAGTTTGAGGAAGAGCTGCGAGAGAACCCTGAGTGTACGGAGATCATCTGATAAACTTTTAAACAGAGAGCTCTGTAAGTTACATTAACCGGAGTGGAATGGCAATAAAACTGCGGCAATTTCTAAGAAGCTAGGTTAGCTTCTCGTGGAAGGAAGAGACCCCTCTCTCGCGACGGCCTGCATGTCCAGCAGGTGGAGAAGCCGAGCGGTCATGCTGGTGTTCAGTCGAAGCCCCTTCCCGTGCCTCCTGCAGAGTAGGTGGCATTATCGTCTTCACACCCACACTGCTCGCGCCCGACAGCTTTCCCCACTCGAGTGGGGTCTGCAGCCTCCACCCACGAATTCAATGCCACTGAAAAGTCAGAAATAAATGTAAAATGCATCCATACTGAATAGCTTTAATAAAACACTAACGCGGTCAAACCACCACAGTGTGAGAAAGCAATGTCATTAAACCTCACGAGAAGGGCACGACCACTGGTTAAAACCAGTCGTCTACTGTAGGGGGCGATGGCAAACTGTAAAACTACGACGGAGCTCTCTGATTCCATTTGGCCAAGTAAAAACTGTATATGTGGTCCTTGCCAAAAAACCATGTAACCAAGGAAACTGAAATGTCCAGTCATACCTTTCTTACACTTTATCGTCCTATGCAAAGTATTTCGTATTTCACTTTATCCAATCAAAGGGCATCTATCTACTGTTTACTGAATGCCTACTACGTGGTTACTCAAATACTGTACAGCTCAGTGGACTGAGCGCTGGCCTGTAAACCGAAAGGTCGTTGGTTCGATTCCCAGCCAGAGCGCACGCCTGGGTTGCAGGCCAGGTCCCCAGTGGGGGTAGTGCAAGAGGCAACCAATGGAGGTATCTCTTGCACATCAATGTTTCCCTTCTCCTCTAAAAGTAAATTAACAAAATCTTTTTTAAAAAAGAAAAAAAGCCAATTCTGTCTAGGGGTGAATTTTTAAACAAATGAAATAGGAAATTCTAAACATGGTATCACATGGTACATTAATTTGTCACCAAAATTATTTCACATTAGTCAGAAACCCATGCTCTACACAACTAAAAAAATAGTTTTTAAACCTCAGAGAAACAAACCCAAAATACAACAGGAGAGATGGATAAGACAGACAGATAAAGCTTAAAAACTTTTGTTTTAGGCAAATGATGCTTGTTATTTTTTATTCATTAAATTACCCTCACAGTCATGAATATTTTAAAAAACAAAAGAAGCCAATAAAATTCCATGCACTTAATGCTAACAAATAAGAAATCATTGTTTCTAAGTCCTTACAGACAGTAAAATTGTCGAGATCATTTTTCCTTTCCATAAAAAGGAGGAAGCGTTGAGCGCGGGCCTGGGAACCAAGCAACCACGGTTCGATTCCCAGTCAGGGCACATGCCTGGGTTGCAGGCCAGTTCTCTCCCTCTCTCCTTCCTTTCCCCCTCTAAAGATAAATAAATAAAATCTTAAAAAAAAAAAAAAAAAGGAGGAAGCGTAGAAACCAAACAAGGGGAAGAATGACAATTTGTAAGACCCTCGGAGGTGCGCACCCTGACATGCTCGGCTGACGTAACGGCCGCAGCGCAGGTGTGGGATCTCGCCCAGGCCCCCCGGGACCTGCCTGTGAGATACCTGAGAGGGTGACCTCTGTGGACACGCGGTCGATGATGAGCACGTCGTCCGCTCCGTCGTCGCAGGCTTCCACGTAGAATTTTTCAGGTGTGATGTGCCTAAGAGAAATTTAAGAGCGTAAGTAAATAAACCAAATGAAATATAGACTTCTAAACAACTACGTATCATAACAACATCGGCTGGGCTTAAACCTGACGTCACTCCCTGGCTTCAGAGTAGACGAGACTGGAACGCATCCTCCTGGGTGCAGTGCCGCTGATTTCACTCATATATTTAATGCTGACAAAATGTCACTTTGCTGTAAAACCGCCAATTTGACTTCTTACATAGCAAATCATAACAAATTTTAATTTACTCTATTCCCTGTGGTGCAGAAGGCAGGAAACACAGTAGTTAGCCGCACAAGCTGTGGGACCGGACTGCCTGCGCTGTGTGACCCTGGGCAAGTCGCTCCTCCTCTCTGCTTTTCAGTTCCGTTATCCATACGTAAGGGTGGTACCAGACTCATTTAGAAGCACTGCTGTGAGGATAAAATGAGCTACTCTTTGATAAGCATTCATAGAACAACATCTGACAAACTGTAAGCAAGATCTAAGTATTAGCTAAAAGTACTAACAAACACATTTTTAATAACACATTTCCAGGAAATTATTTAATAAACTACTTTAATATCTGGGTATTTTTGTTTGTTTGTTTAGTTGGTTAGTTCAAATGCCACTTAAAAATGAGAATAAAAGAACACCTTCTGATTCCGCAAAAATGAAAAATAAAACCCAACGGGGTAAAACCAGGGTTGGGACAGGTAACGAAAAACATACACAGCTTTGTAACCAGAGCCCAACAAATTGACGGTCGGGTCCTCAGGAGGCAACCTGAATAACACAGGCAAGCAGTTTAAGCATCATCAGGCAGTCTCAGGACACACTGAGGACGAACAGAAATGGACTGAATCGCAGACCACTAGGAGGGGCAGGGAGGAAGTCCAACCCTCCAGGAGCTAACGCCCCCCGCAGGGAGGAAGCTGGTCCCCCCTCCCACCCTAGAAACTACTCTTAACTGTTCTTAAACCACCTTGAAAACACTTGTCTGTGCAGCAGCCAATCTGAGGCGGTTTTCTTTCCTTTTTTAATTCTACTCCCTCGATTCCACTCCCCCGTCCACCAAATCTTACACAAACCCACACAACCATAACCGACACCATTCCTCATTCACCAATCGTGTGAGCCGCTTGGTGTCAGCAAGTCCTGGGGCAGGACGAACCGCACAGACCGTTTTGAAGTCCTCAGAGGATGGTCAACCCTAGTCATCCAAATACAACTCCCATCCTTCCACAGTTCGCCTGTAACTAACTTCTCAGTATTAGGCCAGTTCCCTCCGTTTGGGGAGGGGGTTTGCTAAGGGAATGAAAATCCATTTAAATACAAATCACGCAAAATGCAATAAAGGCAACACATCTCACAGTCCTCAGTTCAAACTAAATACAATAGCCCATTCCTTTTCACTACAGAATAGTCTTCTCCTGTACGGGCCAATCACACCTGTTCACCCATCCACCTGTTGATGGACACTGGGTTGTTTCGAGTGTGGGTACCATCAATAAAGGTTTTATGAACATTCCTGAAGAAGTGTGAAGGCAGACATATGCTTTCATTTCTCCTGGGTGACTACCTACGAGTAGAATGGTTGGATGATATCGAAGTTGTTTAACGTGTGCAGACAGGAAAAAAGAGGGGGAACTACAGGGACAAGGAAACTTTTCTGGTGATGGATGTGTTCATTATTTTGACACTGGTGCTGGTTTCATGGGCGTAGAACTATGTCAAAGTGTATCAAGCAGTACACTTCAAATAGGTGCAGTTTATTGTATAGTAACTATACTTCAATAAAGCTACAGAAAGATAAAGTGGGAAGTCCTTGAAACAGAAATAAAAGAAATATAAACAAACTTCAGACAATCTACTCAATATAGGGTACTTACCTCTAGTAGTAAATCATTTTCTAAAAAATCCAACATATCAGTCCCCACATGCAGAATGTTTTATGCAAGTATAAATTGCACTCCCAAGAGTCAGTCAATACATTTATTGAAAAGCTACCATGTACCAAGCATTACCTATGCACTGGGGACTAGAAGGTGTATGAAAAATAAAAACCAAATAAGAAGTAGAAAGAAAATTATTCTAAACAGACCTGAAACAAGGCTTCTTTATAAAAAGCTTTTGAAAAAACCGCGTCTCTAAATCAGGTGGCGTCCTGCTAAGCCTTGCTCTTCAGAGCCCCCCCTTCACCCCCATCCCTTCAGTGCCGCCAGGTGCCCCTGCGGCAGGACCCGTTCCACTGCGCTGTCCGGGGCTTAGACACCTGGAGCGGTTTCACGCCAGGGTGGCCGCTACCACGGAGCGTCCTGTTCCCCCTCCTCTAACTAACACACCAGGAAACCAGGAGAACTCACAGTGTTCAAATGAGTAATAGACAATCTCCTCCGTTACCTTATTTTTAAAGTGACTGTAACACTGATAACAAACAGTCCATTACCAATGTTGCTTTGGCATTTAGTCAACTACCAATGACTTGTTCTAGTCCCAGTAACGCCCAAGCAGCCACCCATAGTCACGGTTGATCGGCAAACACATGTAGCCCCTGCTCACAGGGGACGATTACTACATCTGAACCACTGTATAGTGGGAACTGAAGACCGCCCAGCTGTAACAGCTCTGCACCAGCGGTAGTTACCGGGTTGGCCAAAAAGTCTGTTTAATTTTTTCAGGGAAATGAAAGACATTTTCATTTTCACCAATAACTTTGATTCAGATATTTTGAGTGTGTCGGCTCTCTCCCGTGTGGCAGAACACTGTTCTCAGTTAATGTCTTGATTTGTTTGCTATCGACTTCAGCTGTCTACCCGGCCATGGAGCGCGCCCAGCGAGAAATCTGCAGGAAACTTCGCAAACCACTTCTGACACGTTTGATCAGTCACAGCACCTTCTCCACACACCTCACAAATCTTCTTTTTTTGCATTTCTGCCTTTCTTGAAATAATAAAGCATAATACGCTGAAAATGTGTATTTTCTTCCATATTCAATATTAAAATGGCTATAAAAAAATTCATCAATTTTGATAAGTTTTTAAAACATGTACACTGATAAGACAGCGGTCACAATACAATCTAACAAAATTGTTTCAAATGAAGTTAAAGACAGATAAGGGCTACTAGAGCCATCATGTGGAAAAAACCACAAGAACTTTTTGACCAACCCAATGCAATGAAAAGGCTTTAAGACTTGCAGTAAAAACAGAGGTTCTAATCCTGACTCTTCTATTACATGCTGTGTAACACTGGTCAAGTAACAAGTGTCAACCCCACGCCAGGCCTTGTTCTAGGTACCACTGGTACGAAGTCCCTGGATCACAGGGCTTAGATTCTAATAGGAAAGATGATCGACAGCTAGGAAGTAATTTGGTGATTTCAGATGGTGGTGAATGCTATAAGGAAAACAAAGGGACTTCCTGCCAAGATGGAGGCATAGGTAGACATGCTGTGCCTCCTTGTACAACCAAAAAAAACAACAACAATTTAACAACAAAAACCACCAGAACTGACAGAAAACTGAACTGTATGGAAACCCGACAACCAACAGTTAAAGAAGATACTCATCCAGACTGGTAGGAGGGGCGGAGTCAGGTAGCCAGGGCGGAGAGGACTCCAGCAAGGCGGCTGGCAGGCCAGGCAGTCACACATGCTGTGCAGATAAACCAGGCGAAACTGGGGAGCGAAACAGACCGCGCAACCCAGGGTCCCAGAGCAGGGAAATAAAGCCTCAAAACACGGACTGAAAACACCTGTGGGGGTTGAGGTTCTGCAAGAGACTCCCAGCCTCACAGGAGAGTTCATTGGAGAAACCCACAGGGTCCTAGAATGTACACAAGTCTTTAGAAGGGTACAGCCAGGGGGCCCCCAAAAGAAGGATTTGTAATGGGGTCCAGAACTCAGGGTGTCCAGGAAATAATAAAAGTATGGGATGTCCTCACACCCACAAGTCTGAGCTGGGGGGATGGAATACATGGAGCAGGGCCATTGAGTTGTTTTGCACAGCAATAGTTTTGCAGATAACTTCTAGAATGGTGATTTAACATATCTATAACCTTTAACTGGTTTCATAGATATGTTAAATAGCTGTGGCCATGCTTTGAGCCAGGGAGAAGGGAGTGACTTCCACTCAAGATGTACCTGGGAGGCAACTCCCCAGCCCATCACAGCGCCTGTGTGAGAGCTTGGAGACGACTGGCTCCACAACATGGGGCCACGCCTGCCCAGACTCACTATGGCAGCCCAATAAAGCTGGGAGGATGTGGGAGTCCTGGCGGGTGTAGCCGATTGTGGGAGGAGTCAGAAATGGGGCTGCAGAGGAAGATTAGAGCGGGAATTTAAACACAGATGCAACAGCCATTGAAAGGAGAACCACACGGTTGTGGCCAGAATGGGGACTCTTGCAGCCCTGTGAGAGAGAATTACCACGTACCTTGTAGCTTTAGCAGAGAGAACCACACAGCTTTGGCCAGAGTGGGGGGACACCCCCCTCCCTGCAGCTATGAGAAGAATCATCATGTAGCTTTAGCAGAGAACCGACACGTGGCTTTGGCAGAGAACCATGACGCAGCTTTCTATTTCTTTTCCTGAGATACAGTACCTTGGACTGGGCAAAGGGGGAAAGAAGGACTGTGTGTGTTTGTGGGTGTTTTAAGGGACTTTGGGATTTTGATAAAGATATTAAGTCATTACTCTTAAGTCTGTATAACTTGAATAAATAATTCCTTTCCTTTTCACCAATCTCTAACATGGAGAGCTATAATTCTCTGGAGAAGGGAAAGGTGAACCTAGTACAGGGGAACCCCAGGAGAAGGGGGGTCAACTAGGTACCATTGTGGGACCCCCCTTCCCTGGCGGCCAATCTGGGAAAACCAAGGGAGACCACGTGTGCAGTAGCTTTACAACTACTTGTCACAGTAAAAGCCTAGCCAGGAAGGATCTGCCCTATAAGAATAGAGTCCCTCCAGCCCATGAGGTCAATCTCTGCTTGGAGTTGGTCTGTTCCCATG